AGTGTCGGTCATTGAAGCTCCAAGGACGGCTGCAGACTTTCCTGTTGCCACTAATCTCAATAGTTCGACTTGCACGGGCCTCTCTGTGTACACAGTATACCCTCTAATCTCCTTATCGAGAGTTATTACTCTTAAAGCAGTTGTCAAACCCTGGCCGGTGGCAAGGACTAGTGCAAAATGAACAGCGAAGAACCACAACCTACCCATTGCATGCAAATATCCCTGACCGAAGCAGAGATCCTCCCCTGAGAAGCACAACAAACACTAACTGCCTCAGTCGTAAATCTGAAGAGCAAATAGCTCCTGGCTATCAGCCGAAAATCGTAGCCAGCAGCGTACGCAAAGGCAATTGTGAGTGCAGGGAGCTCACGGCTGGATGCAGTCAAGTAGGGAAGCCCATATTTGTCGTGTCCTATTTTAATCGTAGACTGTATTCCAGGAACCTGGAGCATCAACCCAACATCCTCTACGCTGGGCACTCGGCTATCGATCGTTAGGCGTATGCGTCAACTGAATTGCATGCGTTCCCCTCTAGTGCAGAGAGAACCACGAGAATATGCGAACCCAACTACCAAAAACGTCCACTTTGCTCATTTGAGCAATGACGGCCTACCTCTGCAGGTGTATTCCAGAAAGCTTCATCTGGCGTAAAGAAGCGACTAATGACGGGATGTCCAATAAGCCCAACGACAAAGGAAAAGAAGTCCGTGTATGTCAGCGCATAGTAATTCCATGGGTCCTGGACGCATAAAATTCTAAACTGCAGCGCTCCTTGCAAGTAGTTCTAGTCAAGGGCTTTCCCACACTACTCAACACAGCTTGAGGCCTTCCGAGCACTTACTCTGGTTCTGCAATACTGGATAACCAGCAAGGTAAGGCTGCTGGCGGTAATTATCGTTAGGAAGCTCTTGATACCAAGCCCGTTCGAGAATTTCATCTGAAGACACAACCGAACCCTTGGACGAAACCACATATCCCCGCCCTCTTGCTGTCTGGTCTCGCTTCCGCGTGGACCCACCGTGAGGTAAAGACTGACTTCTTCGCAAACTCGGTGTCTTTCCCTAAAGGCTTAAATGCCAACAAGTGATAGCGTACTTTTCCGCTTTAGCAGGTCACTCGCAAAGGAGACCCCGCAGGGAGACGGCGCTGCGCTGCTCCACCTGGACGGAAACTTCGCTGGTGTTCGTCACTAGAGAATTCAGGCTGAAGCGTCTGCGCTGCTTATGAAGTATCTAAGCCGGAAAATCGAAACATGCAAAACTTTTTGACTGGCTGTGTTTACAAGGGACACCCTGCGAGACGCACTCCACCCGCTCACTTCATCAACGGCGTCGCAGGGCATCGCCTGTCGTCTGGCGTTTTGTGCATACGGTTCAGTGTATAGCTTCCCGCTCCGTGCGCCTAGATTAAATTGATAGTTCAGGATCTAGGATTAGCTCTGGAGTTTGTATCCTGCAGGTTTTTGGGTTTCCGTACTCAACCGAGGCCTGTCGCAGTCTCACGATTCTAGCGCCCCGAGGCCATAATCGCCGGAGCGCTAAATCTGACAATAAGCATAGAGCTCCAGACGCCCATACTGTATTTTATATTCCTTTAATGACTGCTTCTACGGTTTTGGCGAGTTGCTGCGGCTGGTTGGCTGCGTTTGCTTCGTGTGTCCCATGCTCTCTCGCCGCAGACAAGTCACTATTTACACACACGCAGTGCTGCTGTGGACAGAGGCGCGGAACCACCTGGCAAAAGATTCGCACAACTTAAGTGTCATTCGCAGTAAAATTGAGCTGGGGCGCCCCTGAAACCAAAGATTTTCGTGGTATGCGCTTCAGAAAGCACAGCAAATGCCTATTGCTACGCTATGCTGCAGTGGGGAGGAGCGAAAATTGCAAAGACACCTTCATGCCAGCGTCCCTGGGCATGGCAGTTGGCCTAGGGATGCAATGTTCGATGACAGAGTCTAAGAAGAATTCCTCCGGTAGACAGATTTGAAGCAGCGCGTGGAACACTTCGAAATTAGGTTCTTGTCGCACACAATCAATATTCGTATTGGTATTTGTGCCGCGCGACTTGCTTTGTTAATGTTCAATACTTTTTATTGGCATGCGGGGGTTGATCTGCTCCATCTTATGTGGCATAACTTGTTGGCCTAAAGGCCCACAGGACCTGTTTTCAGGTGAGAGCTAGAGTGCCGCTTCAGCTACTGGTACAAGAGCAGCATGATGTACGAGCATCCAGATGTTGTTATCCTTAGGCCTTCCTAGAGCTTCTCCTGCGTGCCATATACCCAAAAGTACCCGCTTCTGGTGAGCGGAGTGAGGTGTTTCTGGATATGGAAGTCCTGCCACCACCTTCAGACTGAAAGAACCCTAGCAAAGCACACCAAAGAGATGGCCAGCCAGCTCAGCAACGCAGCGCAAATGTATTATTTGGGACTCTCAGGTCCGGAACTTCGCTGCGGTATTGCCTCAGCTGTACGTTTTCTCCAAAACCACTTTGCGCGCAGAAACTGTAACATCGGAAAGCGATTGTGAACCTTCATATTTTTTTCAGCTGTCCACATGGACAAGCTTCAACATGGCGATCCTGCTATTTGGCCTGCTCTTAAAACGATGTGAAGCCACGTACACGCAAGCGGAAACACCATTGAGCATTCACGCGAAATTACGGAGCACACTAGCCATACAAAGTTTATGCTTCGCAGTTGCAACCCGTGCGTGTAGGCTTGGGTACAAGCAGCAGGGCGAACGCTGCCTGAAGAGCTGCCCTTGGTGTTAATGAGTGTATTTTGGGTTGAAACTGGCGATCTGAGCCAGGAAGAAGCCCTCGAACCTCCTCATCACGCTACTTAATCAGAGATACTCCTGCTGCTGCCTAGTGGAACACTCTATGCAACGGACTTGGCCTCCACAACCTCCAAAAATTGTCACGTTGACTCCAAAACCATATTAATAGCATAAAATCATGTGCCGCTAATCCAATTTATGCTCTGAAGCTCTATGCGCTAACCCAGGGGTATGACGAAGGACGAAAGAGGGACACAAGCTCTGCATTGAAGCCTGCAGTGATTGCCCAAGCCTGTCGTTGGTGCCATTGTGACAAGTATCCCGTCAGCATAACGAGCCGAGAAACAGAAAGGGTGGTAAATCTGTTGCGCATGCATGACAATAATGAGTGAAGAAGAGTGAGCACTCAAGGGACCCTGCTTGCAACTGCCTGTTGAATGCGCAGCGCAAAATGCATTGGTGTTCCCGCTGCAAAGCACTTGTAATAATGCCCATACTGATTTTTGGTTACTTTTCAGTTGTTTAAAATGCTAGTCTCTGGTTTTTATCCCAGGAGTAGTTGATGCCGCTTCTCTAAGGACATCACCGGTGGCCCGTTAATCCAGAAGAGCCTCAGACACGGCAGACTGATGACTCGTGAGCAAATTTGCCGCGGATATTTACAGATTGAAGAATCCAATCAATTTTTCCCCGTAATGAAATTTCTTGTTACACGAATATGGGCTGTCTGTGGGAAGTGGAACTAGTTCAGTTCAGTCAAGCTTGAGAACGGCTCCTTACAGTATCCCGATGAAAATCAATAATTTAAAAATGCAAGAAAAATGATGGCGGATGACAGCGTACCAGGAAGACGGAGGAGGCGGTGTCTGTCGACTGCAGACTGAGCGTCGTCCCTCTAGGCTCCTCGCTGGAATCCTGGGGCACCTCCGTAGCGCCGTAGCCCAGGCCCACGCTTCTCAAATCGACAGCACAATGCCGATTTGGGTAGCTCGTTGCTTTAATACACTCAACAGAAGCTTACCACACGAACACATAATTCGTCCAGGAAGGTGTTTGGGACGCTGTGCGGTTCATTATTATGAGGTGCATTCCAAAGCTTGTTGGCTACATGCAGGAGAAAAAAATGCCTGGAAAATGCCGTAGAGCACTGCTATTACTACAGTTTTAGGCCCTTTGGAGGGCTCGTTGTGTAGATATGACACTGAACAAGTTGAGTTGTTCGTCCGTACAACGAAAAGACAGGGTGTTTTTTCCTCTTGCGATCAGACACACAGTTTAGGTTGCAGAGGTAGGGGCGTTTGTCTCACCGCCTACATTCAGAGCTTTCTCGCATTTTACTGGATTTTAGCGGCACTGACAACCTAGACTAAAGGAGCGCCGCGGGTTAAGCAGGCCTTTTTGCGCAGAAGTACATGCATTGCTGCCTTATTGGAGTGACGCCACTTGCACGAGCTGCCGAAGGGGCACCAGGAGACCCAGGGCCCCAAGGCAAGCAGCTAGGGTCACTGATATGGGGCATGAAGGCTCTTAAATCACTTCACTGTAGGGCAAAAGATGCTCTTTTTGTGTGTGTGTGCCGGGTCTTGTCGCTGTGACACTGAGCATTGTCGTCATCGCCTGGCGAGTGCATATGAGAACCGTGCCTTCGCGCAGAATCACCCCGAAGGGTATCGGGGAAATATGTCACTTTTTGGAAAGTTACATGCACAATACTACTGGAGCGGCACCGAGCATATGAGCTGCATCAGAGTGCAACCGCTTACTTCGGCCATTTTCCGCCCTTCTTTACTTCGGAGAACATAAAAAATAGCTGCAAAAGCTCAAGCAGAAGACAGGAATGGATGTTGGATTTGTTCTTGTTACAGTGAAAAGCTTTCAATTCGCTGGCTCTGCATGATCCAGCAAGTTGGTGGGGCTGGTTGGTGGGGTTGCCACTGGTTATTCAGGGAGGTCGACTGGCGAAAATGTACGTTCTGCGGCACGCCCCCCTGTCATAAAAAATATCGATATATAGGGACTGACAGATTCAGAATAGCTTTGGCAAGTTGAAGTCTAACCCACTTTGGTGGACTGATTGTGTGGAGTGGAGCCCTGCCTCAATCTTCACTGGTCAGTGTGGACAGCGCCTCTTTTTCTGTGTATTGCCCTAAGGCGGTCATGATGTTTTGTTTTTAGCACGTATTAGGTAGTCTTTACGCCAGGTTAACCAAACCATTTGCCATGAGGTCCGCTGCAGAAGCTCTTCTGCGGCGGGCGTTGGACGATGGCGAAGTATCGGAAGCAGACTTGCAGGGTAAGAAGCGCCGGCGGTCCAAATTAGTGCACACATATGTATTAAAACGTGTGGTCCTCGCTTTAGCATATTCCACGCCGAGCCAGTAACCGCTCCCCTGCTTCACTTTGCACATGCATTGGGCAGGACAGACACGATGCTAATCGTGTCTGTCCTGCCCAATGCATGCTTAGGTCGCGCCCTGCCTATGTGCTTTTCGTCTCTTCGTAAATACTGCCTTACAATCAGATCCATAGGCTCCTCGATGTTGCTGCGTTTTACAGACTTTGGTCACCTGGATTACGCAGGCGTGGCGCGGCTTCTCAAGTTGGACCCAAATTTAAGCGAGGCGGTTGTCGCTGTAAAGCTGCAAGAAGTACGTGACAGAAAGAACAAATTTAGGGTGTTTCTCTCGGTTATCTTCGTTTTTTAAAATCGAATAATGCGTAAGCAGCCCTAAAAGGTGCTCGTCTTCTGATTCTAGGCGAGTTTGTGGAGCTTGTTTTGGAAAGTGCGCTGCGCTTTTGAAATTTCTACTCACAGGTTGGCGGGTCCGCGCTCATAGAGATGCATCCTTCACAATTTGCGTGTGCTCTTTCCCTCACGAAGCCTCAGCAGGGTGAACGCCTAGAAGCCTTCCTGTCTGCCTTGAAGACAGTTGCTGCGGGCCTCAAAAAGGGCGTGCAGCACGACACAGTTAGTGCCGATTCAGCTGCAGCTAGAACATGTACAAGCAAAGAGCAAGAAGACACTGCGTCAGCAGGCGCGCATCACGACAAAGCTGCTGCTGATTCAGGCCCAGCTGCTGCAACTGCAACGAAAAAACCAACAAGCGAGTCGGGAACCCGTACGAAAGCGGTGCCGTTCCAGAGTATGAAGCCAGCTATCTACAAGGGCCTTCGTGCGCCTCGCGTCTCTGGACTGAAAAGGCCGGCGCCGGTCGCGTGCTCTACTGGAAATACAGCGGTTGCACCTGCGTCTATTTCTTCATTCACAGCAACCGCTGCCAAAACTGCGGAGCAAGCGCAGCAACATTCAAGAGAATTACCCCCTAAGCGGGAGCACCAGACTAGTAGTGTCTCAGTAAAGGGTGGAAAAAGGAAGTGCAGTCATAGAGTCGGCACAGAGAGAAAATGGGACACAGACAAACCTGCAGAACTGCCTGCGCCTCAAGAGCGACCAAGAAAAGAGCAGCAGAAGCAACAGCTTCGAGCAGCAAGCGGGGCTGATGATCAGTGTAGCAAAGAAGCAGAATTTCGGGAATGGGAGTCTTCAATGTCGGCCGTCAGGGCCCGCTTTGATGCAGAACTTAAACGACAGTCTGCGTACAAAAGCATGCGGGTAGGATTGTCAGGGGCTCAGCGAATGAACAGGCCTCCATAATTACTGTGTGACAGTAGCGCTTTGTCAGTGACGAAGCTTTGCGAGCTTATGCATTATGTCGCCTTGATGGGTCCTGCAGGCTCTTATCTCCACAACGGGCTTTCCAGAGGGAGCCGGCGTGCAGAACGAACTGCCAGGAATTGTGCGGCGACTAGGAACTCTGGGAGGAGTCTCAACAGCGTTTGACTGGAAACCGGAGAACCCTGAAAAAATCACCCATCTTATTTGCAGTAATAAATTGACAGTGAGTGCAGCAGTGTTGCTGGGTCAAATCTACTGCCGTTTTTGTGGGTTTGTGAAGCTATGGACGCGGTGATCCTTCTAGTCATTCATGAAGGCAAGGCTGTCGCAGCTTCAGTGTGCAGACGTGTCAATGTACGTCCTGCTCGCAAAGTGCGTGCTGCTGTTCGGTGGATTGGCTGTGCTACTCAGAGACCTACAGTAAAGCTTTATTTCGCCTTGGTGAGCGGTGCTTTCATTTTGAATGAGGAGTTTCTCCAGGAAGCCAGGAGGAAGAAGGTGAGAAAATACGAGCTTCGCTGGATCCGAGAGCATGCAGCTGCGAAGGCCTGGAGCGCTGTGGGTGCTGGTGCTGACACAAAGCTTGTCTTTTCCTGCCGCTGCTGCGATAGGCGTGGCCAGATCCTTGTCAGTTCCAGCGGGCTGACTTTCCACCAGTAGAGCTCAGAGAAGAGTCTCGCTGGCTGTTGAGGGGCCTTTCTGTCTGTATCTACGGACCCTACCGTCCAGCTGGCCTTTCCAAGCAACAGTTGCTGTCACTGGTATGGACCTAGTTGACGGCTCTGTCTTCTGCAACTTCCCTTGTTCAGTTACAGTATCCTTAGCTCAGGCACAGATATCTGCCTCCATGACAGCTTCTTAGGAGCATTTTGAGGGACTTTTCTATTGGGATTGTTGCTGCTGCAGGCTGCTGCAGCTGGCGGATCCTTAGGAGACAACTCTTCCGCTATCTGGCTGCTCGAAGATAAGGAAGCGTTGCGCCGTTGGCAGGCTAGGGGTCTTTGGAGGTTGCAAGAAGAGGCAGGGGCTCGCCCCATCACCATTTCCGCACAATGGCTGCTCGACTGTATTCGTTTTTGGCAGGTTTTGCCGCGGGAGCAGCACGTACTCCATCTGTCATCTCCATCCCAGGCGAATTTGGTTGGAAGCTCTGTTGTAGCCGGACGTACAAAGTGCCGAAATGAAAGCAAAACAGGAATTCCTGTGCGGCGAAAGAAAGAGATGAAACTGGTGGAGAGGTTAACGCTGCCGCCGGACACCGTTAAGGCAACTGAAACATGTGTTCCGAACAGTGGATCCCCGGAGGTGCACAATGAGGAGACACCACAGGAAACGCCTCGCCATCCGTTACAAATGGCAGCTACGTCAGCGGAGAGCAAGTCAACAAGGCAAGAAAACTTGCAACAAGAGTATGTGCAGCCACATATGCGAGCCGGCGAGTACGTAGCGAAAAGCGTGGACCAGGAGCCCCATAGGGCTTCTAAAGGCATAAGGGAACGCGTTTCTGGGCGACGCGTGAAAACTGGAAAACGAGTGCGGGGTGAGAACACCCTTAAAAAGTCAAAGGGTGGAGCAGTTGCTGCTGGAGAGAACCAAAGCATGATTTCAGAGCCGCCCGTTCTACCTAAATTGTTGGACGTAGCCACATCGGTGCCTGGTGATGATGACAGGCCAGTATCCGCTACCTTGGACTCAACTACAACCGCGGAGAAGCATGGGAGCGTGAAAGTCACTGCAACTGCTGGCGGCGACGATGAAAGCGGTATGAACCCTTCCAGTGTTCTAGGAGACTGGCAACTGTCTGCTGGACGCCCTCGTCTCAAAGAACAAAGTGTTGCAAAACCAGTTTTGTCGACAGCTGCTGCAGCTGTAGCCCTGCCTGCAGAGGCAGCACCGGATGGCTTTCAAGAGAACTACCCAGCTGGCGCTTCGCAGATTCCCGATGCAAAAGACTTCCCGCCGCTCCCGGTAGAGCAGCTCGCGGTAGCAGAGCTCTTTGAGCCTAACGAAGAAAACCACAGTGCTTCAGGGTACGACTTTGAGATACCAACTTAGCACTAAACGAAAGGTCGGCGACGTCGACAAGAATAAGCTGGCACACACTCCACCAGGGCCAACAGACGGAGTTGAAGTGCAAAGCAGCAAGAGCAGCAGCGTGTCAGGCAAATAGATAGTTTTAATGCATTAATGCACACGAGAGTTGCCTGCATGCAAGCAAGGAGCCAACGGCGCGTGCCTTAGGCGGTGTTTACTTGTGCTGAGCAGCTGAAAATGCGCAGCTGTTTTTCATGTGGAGTGGTCGTATTCAACCGTCTGCCCAATCACGTGCAGTCGTGACTCGCCAGCTTGATTCACGGGCCAGTATGGCTGTGAATTCCGCTTCAATTCATGTTACTTCGCGGATTAGTAACGCTTCCATGTTTCAATGCGCCTTCCTAAGCATGCCCCTGTACCCTACATGCGGCTGGTGCTTTCTTTCTCTTCGATGTGGGAGTGAGCGGTATCGCGTCCCGCACATTCAAACCGCAAGTACGAAATCACAAGCTTTTTGTAAGCGGGGGTGTCACCGTCACTTTTAGCATGCATGATGTACGCTGCTGCCTGGGACTGGACAACGCAGTTCGGGTGGTGCAACAAGCTAATTGGACACAACTGGCGTCGCGGCGTCCGTTGTACTGTAGAAATGGAGGTTTCTATCCACTAGAAAAGGCTGCGTTGCGCCGTGTTGACGCGGCGCAGGTTACATAGTTCGGAGTAACAGTTTAATTGGTGTTGAGGGCGAGCCGCACCTCTGCGCAGTTTCGTGTTCTCTGCTGCCCAGAACCACCGCCCCACGCAGATACATGCTAAGCCAGTGACTTATGTGCTGTCTAAAAGTCCAAATCTGCGACACAGCTATTGCAGCAGTGCACCGCAGAAGTATGGAGTAAGAAGGGACGCAGAGAGATTACTTCGGCTGCATACGCCGAGCTTGGTGCAACGGTGCGGACGCAGCCCACTCGCTTTCGCCGTCAACTGGATCGCAAACTAACGTGAGGAAGGTGTTCCTTTTGATGGATACCGGTGCTGCGCTCTCTCGCGTCGTCAAAGTCCTCATGAGCAGCTTTTGCCAATCTGCTTCACTTAGCGGGTCTCCAACTGTCGTCATTAGGTGATGCAATTCTTCAGTGTTGACGCTTCCCTTCTTCTCTCGATCGAGCAAGTTGAACGCAGCAAGGATTTCCACTGGATCTACGGCTTTCGGAAACCCTTTACGTGCGATTGATAAAAATGTTTCGAAATTGATTGAGGTGACCTTCAGCCGGCGCATCTCCGCTTCGAATACTTTGTGCTGCTCAACAAGAACCACGAAACCGAGACTTCGTAGCATCGCCGTTACCTCGGTAACAAGGACAAGCCCATCTCCATCTCTATCATACAAACGGAAACATTCTGATGCCTCTTCTTCCAAATGTACGTCAAAGCTGTCGCTGCGAAGTCCACTTTCAGCCGCCAGAGCTGATGGAGTGAAGTCAAGTGTAAGTTTCTCTTTAGGCTTCGTCGGCTTGGAAAAAAATATTGTGGAGGCGGGCGCCCTCTCTGCTACGTCGTATCTTTCATACCGCGCATCGCGGCGCCGTCCGCGTTCGCCGGCCCCAGCATACCTCGAAGTGTAGCCGGGGACGCTCTGAGCAAATGGAAGCATTCCCTCCTCAATAAAAGGGGCCGGGCTGCTGCTGTTCGCACAAACAGCCCCTTCAGAAACTAAACAGCCCCCTGACCTGGCATACGCAACCACGTCGGCTGACCACACAGGTGAATTTGCCCTTTAAAAACACAGCAGCATGTGTTCAAAAGAATATATCAAAGATTCCCCGGTAGCTGAGGAAAAGCCTATGGATTGTGCTCGACGACTCGAAGTTCGTGGCCATCAGAGGATGGCCACGAACTTCGAGTCGTCGAGCACGCAAGAGTAACCAACCACTTCGCTGCTCTCCAGCAAGGAGATCTCGCCACTAACTAAGGCATCTCAAATGTATATCCCTGATATGTGTGGGAAAAAACAACTTAGCTTCAGTCTATATTTGCGAGCAGAATTCGAATCTCGAGCTGGCGTCTAACCAGTAATTCGAGCCAGCGTGGGATGCTTGTCTCAGATTTGTACAGTCCAGACCGCTACCGACACTGGTTTGCGCAGGTTCTAAACCTGCGCCAAGTGCCAACTAAAAATACGCGTGCCGGAGCAAGAATATTTTTCTATCGCAAAAAATAGTTGATTTTTGGTGTCGGATACGTTGCGATATGGGGCGCGTGGCATCCTACGCAGAAATGCTGCTGTTGCGTTTTGGTGCTAATCGTAAGAGAGCACCACACTCAAGAAAACATCATTCAATTCCTACATTTCCCCTCTGAATTACCTGTGCATATTTCACGCAAATTCGATCCCAAAGCAGTACAGAATGGCTGACGCTGCAGTGCCAAACAGAAATATAGCAAGCCGCTTAGAGGGCTGTTCACCAAATAACTTCTATTTTTGATGGCAGGAACTGAATGCATGATGTTCTTGATGGTGAAGAAATGGAAAAAATCCCGACATCGTGGCGTGAGCCCTCCACCCTGGCAAGACGCGATACAAGGGACACCTTAGGGCCAATGTTAGTATCCTCTTTCAAGAGCTATTGCGTCAGGCGCAAGGCAACACTGCTCCTGAAGGCGGTATTGCGTAACTTAAACACCATATTGAATTTCCCGAGCGGTTGCAGTCGTCTAGCTCTACACAGTGCAGCAGGGGCCCTTATTGTGCGTTATCGCCTTGCAGTGTAGCTGGCCCCTTCTAGACAACCACACAATTTGCCACTAGTATCCCTCGAAGGGAGACGGACGATGAGAGCTCACCTCAACTACGGCTACCCTTAGAGGTACGCGGTTTGAGGAGCAGATACGATCAGAGGAGCAGACAGTACTCTAAAGGACACTCACTCACGGCCCTTAAGGAGCATAAGGAACTGCTCTTAGACAGCACAGCAGTAGGACTACCACTGAAGCGCTTAAAATGTGACCACCTTGTTTTTTTAAGGGGCCATCTGCCTAGTGCGGCCTCTATATACCACATGCCACCGGATCAGTTCAGGTTCACAGGCAAACACAAGCGGACGAGAAATAGCTAAGTTAAGTTATGTTCTTGTAGGTGAATATGTCTGACCTATTCTTTAATCTGTACTCCGATCATCATGGTTGACAAACACAACGATGCTTCAGGCGGGCGCAAAATGGGAATGGTGGTAGGTAAGCAATAGTACCATTACAATTGTTCCTCAACTTGTTCTGCAGCCCCCTCACCCCCAGAACACTTTAGAAATGCTGGGAAAAGCTGAATACAGTTCTGTACTCGATCCCAAGGCCGGTTCCACCAAGTCCGAATGGCCTAGGAAAACCGTGGAAGAGGGCGTTTTAGTCCTTGGATTATTCGATTACAAGGTTATGCTCCTCGGCTTCAACAGCGCTCCAGTTGATTGCCACGTTCATATCAATTTCTATTTCCAATCTCTATTAGGACACGGTTTTATCACTTATCTTGGTGAGATACTGATGCACAGCTCCGACCTCACTACGCAAGCCCAATTCCTTCAGCAAATGCTCAGCACGTTGCTCAAGCCCCAGCTTTGCCAAAAGGTCCACAAGCGCAAATTTGCAAGAAAAAAAGCATAGACCTCGGCTACACCCTCTTAGGGTGTAAAACCTGCAGGGGAAAGGACATACGCTTTTCCTGCGTGGCTAGAGGTGTTGACCAACGAGACACAAGCACGCACTTTCCTGGTGACTGGAGACTATTGCCGTGTATTTCTGCGCCCTGATTACGCCGGCATTGTCAACCTCTTGTTTATATCGTTAGCAAGCATGCTCCTTTCTACAGAGCGATGCTTCACATGCAAGCTGCACACTACCTCACGCAGCATTTTATTGACTGCATAACTCTGCAGGTCCCAGACACCGCGAAGCCCTTCGAGCTATATACCGATTCCCCCAGTTATATATAGAGCTTCTGCCTTGATTACTGCTCATGACAAATGGCCATTTACTATGTCCAGGCGAAGATTATGGCGTACACCGAACACAAAGCGCCTAATCATTCACAGCAGCTCAACACATCTAAACCTTTGTGGTCGTCCTGCTTGTTGACTTGACCTGCTCGCCGAGTTCCGGCGCTTTACCATTACTTGCGAACGCAGCCAGGTTGGAGTTGCGCTAGCCGCTTCACTCAATATCCTACCTCCTTTGCCCTTAGGGAGCTGTCTATGGTTTCCGTCACTGCTGAGGCTGCGCTCCCTCGCCACACTCAACATCATACGTCCTCTGTCCTCAGGGAGACGTATATGGTTCCCGTCACTTCTCAGGGTGCGCTCCTTGGGTTTAAGCTCATGCTCAAGCGACTCCAAACGTCCCATTACACCCGGAGGCGCCCGAGCAAATACAGCGCACCACCACGCATACGCATCAAGCATGCTTGTCTACGCAGAACCCCTATACCTCCGCCCACTGTTCTCCCACATGCGGCCTGATAAGATCACTACACTCTCTTTACGTCTGCGTAGCACATGCCGTCCCGAGACACGCGTCTCTCGTCACCGGAAATGTAGTCATTTACAATGCCAAAGCCAATATCCGCGATTAAGAGTTAGAGTCACCTTTCCGCTTGGACATGGACTTCCGTTTACACAAAGTGCAAGGTCTTCCGTTCCTTGTACCGTGCAGCAAGGCAACGATCTGGAGAAATCACTCCAAGCAAGCTCCGCAACGGCCAATTGATTTATTCCTTCAACGCTCATCATGGGAGCCTTCGTAATAACGATTTGTAGCCAACTTGCATGCCGCAGTTCCATAAATTCCTCAACCGTGTTCTTCACAATCACCATGATTGAGTAAGAGCCAGGCATTGCGGGCAAGAAAGGGCCTTCCCTGCATCCAGCAAATACTATCATTGGCAAAGCATGCGTGCCTGTACAACACCATATGTGGAACCGTGTGTTTACTGTCAAGCTTTCCAAACACTTTCAAACACGAAAGCGAGCAGTGCTAGATCTGCACCCCATCACTAACCTGCCCTTCACTGCTTCACTTGATAGCTCTATTCGCATTACCGTTACTCCTCAGCAAGATGGCCCACTTTGTCCCAATTAAGAAGGCGTCGACGCCAGCACACATCGTCGAGCTGTTTAAAGACCGTCTCGTTCACTGCCACAGTTTCCCCTAAGCCCTAAATTGTGACAAAGACCACCAATCCCAGCTACACCAACGGTAGCATTTATGCACCGAATTTAACATAATGGACTGTTTGTTTTCAGCACGCCATCCCTAGACAAAATGGCAAGCTGAACACGTTGTTAATCGCAAGTCGAAAGAGATGCTTTGGAGAAACGCACACTCAGGTGAAAAGTACTGAAGAGTCACTTTATGGCCCTTGAACTGGCAAAAAACATGGCCATTGACTCTTGCACCGGCTTTCTGCTTGAAAGGCCACGAATGGTCAGAAATCTCTCACAGCTGCTGACCTTGACATTGTCGGCGCTTTGGCACTCTACTTTCATCCCTCATATGACTAAGCTCTTTGAGCAACAAGAAAATCGGAAAAAAGGCGGCGAAAACTTCCATAGGTGAGTGCCATACCGTCTCAGTACCTTAACGTAGATGCATGGGGAGCAGTCTCTTCTCGCGTGTGCGCCATCCCCGGCACACCGCCGAAGCATGTAGCTCAAATAGAAAGATCAGTTTGGAGTTCATTGCTACGACGCTTTTAATGTTCAGAAACTTTTCCAGGTGGTGGGGTCTTCTGCCTATCCCGGAAGGTCTCGTCGTTGCGCCTTTTGTCTTTCGCCCGTCCATCCACTGTGCTTTAACAATCCTGTACACATCATTTAGGATTGTTAGGATGTTCCAGGAGGCCTGCTTCTGAAACGTCCTAACTCTATTGGGTTTCTGGTGGCGACATACCTAAATGTTGAGTGGGACATTCTGTGCGCGAGATAGCAGTCCAACGAACTTTTTCATATCGTTTATGAGTAGAGTAGGGGTGCGAAGAAACCCAGAAAATGTTATTGCTCACCCGCAGAGATCTAGGCAGTATCGCACTGCATACTAAGGTTAAACCTCGTGTCCGCACATTTGACACAAGGAGCTGGATCAACTCAAAGACAAAAACCTAGAAGAAACAGGGAGCCACTTCGTTGTAGTATTAAAAGACTATTCGCATGGCGTATGATGATGCTAGGGAGCACCTAATGCTGCTTGTACCAGACACCTTTGTTGAAGGGCGCCTGTGAGTATGGCAAGTGTTGTATTCATTTGTTGCCATTTTGTTTGCTTTGCTTGTAAGAGTAGCCAGTCGAGTACCCTATTGCGAGTGTAAGTAAGGCAACTATTTTGCCAAGGAAATTGGTGATGAAGCGAAACCACCGCAATTTTTCCAGAGAGCAAACAGAGGTCCAGATCTTTGAGCTCTAACCGGCAGCAGCCCCTGGTAGATTGTAATGCTTTGTTATGCACAGATACCATTTATCGGCTAAACGGTCCGACAGCCTAGCAGAGCAGCATTCTCGGAGTACACATTGCGCGTAGTGCTGCTATTGGAGCCCCTCTTACTCGCGTGCCAGCGCTGTTTATGCTGTAGTAAAGGCCGCTTCCCAAGCTGGCTGGAGTACGACACGTTTTGCACCAAGTGCCCTACAGCTGGGTAATGACCTACTGGAAAAAGAAAGCGGACCACACTTTTCTGTGGACTCTGGATGCCCCCGAAGGAAAGAAAGCAAGGAAATCCTCGTGGAGTTGCCCCAGGCCCAGCTCGCTCGAGGTTATCAAATGGATGAGAATACCTCGGGCTACACGCATGAGGCACGCAACGGGGAGAAAGTCGCACGGGAGCCGTCAAACACACGAAGGCACACAGGAGCTGTCAAACACACGAAGGCACACAGGAGCTGTCAAACACACAAAGGTAGCTTGGAATTTCCCTCAAGGAGGCGGAGGCTTGGGGGGATCGAAGAGAGGGGTGGGAAAGATCGAAATCTACAGCATCGTGTACAGGATGTTTAGTTGCCCCGCAGGAGGGGAAAAACACTGGAGTGAAAACGATTTTTGGAGAAAATGAAACACAAAAATGAAATGTAAAAGAGTCCGAGGAGCAGAACGAACAGGTTTCAAACTAAAAATTTGGAGCTTACGATTGTCTTTGGTCCAAAGTGGAAACCAGTCTCAGTTTCGAAACCTAGAGGATCTCATAGCTGCATAAAATGCTAAATGCATGGAGACATCTGCAACCTAGTAGTCTATTAAGATTTCCCATCAGAACTGTTGTGAAATGGTGGGAACACTCCCTTCAACACATGGAGATTAACGCCACCTTAGCCTACTAAGTCGCACTCAGCAGCGTAAATCGTGAACCCCACAAAAATTCTATATCGTGAATTAAAGAAAGGTTCTTTCTGATTCCTATAGTTGATTGTAGAGTGCAATTTCTCGTGGAGCGCGAAAATCCAGCTATCGCCACATTTAGGTACCACCACTCTCGTAGCAAGAGACAGTGTGCTAAATACCTCTCAAGATTTCGACACAATAATGTGGCATCTCTTCGAAAATATTAAAAGCTCTTTTTGTAGCCTTTTAGGGGGCGCAAAGATCCAAAGATACTACTTGCAGCCCCTCACTGAGTGCAAGCAGTGTCGAGGTCTAATGTTCGGGGGCGTGCTGTTGAGTAGCGAGGCGTGGACTCCTGTCTGTGGCTAAGAGAGTATAACGGCGGAGAAAGGGGACTCGATGTAAGAAGTGGAGGTTTCAAAGAAATTGGGACGGCAAAGTATGTTTCCTTTAACAGGATACACAAGGAGGTGACCTGCTCTTGCGCATATGCGCCCTTACTTCCTTAGGGGTTATGGCCGCCAATCAAGGGCTGAAAATTTTTCTGCATGCATAATACTTACATAGCACTTTCTGCTAATTCTGAATATCTAGTATTGGATCCTATGTTGCATTGCAGTTCGACAGCCGTCTGACCAGCAGACTAGCTCACCGGTCACCAGTAAAGCGGCGCTAACTTTACCACAGAGCACATAGAGTCAAGGGGCACGCTGACTGTTGGCTTTAAATAGCACTCCAGTGCATTTGTCGTCACTTCACGTGAAACATCATTTCGTGCCTCGAAAGACCCCTGACATTGCTGGTTGTGGGGAATAACGCGCTGCAAAGATCTGCGCACCAACGCGGAAGTGGTGCTGAACCGCTATTCAGCTCATAACTCTGTAACAAATGGGCAAAAGTAACGGATACTTAGTCATAGGTCTGACTCAGAAACTATGGCTGCCTGCAGGCCGCAGCAAGAACTGGTTTCTGCTTCTGGGAAGTCTGCTTCCTTGGTTTGGCATCCTAGTTCGTGAGGTCTTAAGCACAGCTTTCTTGCTTCCTAGCCGCAAAAGAGATTTCCAAACCTTGCTTTTTCATCAATTTAGGGAGTTATCCTTTTAGAGTCAGGGGTGACCTCGCAGCAACAAAGCGTCCCAGCTCAGGGGAATCGAGGAACCCTAACTATGAACGCGGTCCTTTCTCCAGCAGATTAAATATAGCACTCACTTCTCATTAATGTGCATTCATTCGAGCTGCCTGGAAAAGAAAATTTGATCAAGGAAATGCCTGAGGGGCCATCGCAACTAGACCAAAAACCATTCTAGAAGCGGTCAGCCTTAAATCGGTTCGAGGAGGAGTACTGAGAAACTCCAGTCTCCCCTTAAACTTGGTTGAATGCAGGAAAAACAGCATAACAGGCAATTGTCTTAGGGGTCTTTGGCCAGAATCCACGCACAGGCTCTTTACTGCTCATGCGTGTATGATTTATCATACAAACGGTCAAAATAGTACTCGAAGGCCTTCAGCATGAAGAATCTGGGAGACGAAGACTCTTTTTTCCTCTCAAGTGTCAGGGAAAATGCCGTGGAAAATGAAGAACATCAGCTTTCATGTGGGCCAACGAAAATGGTATCATTCAAAAACAAAATCCAACATCTGGGCAATACCGGCGTAAATACGTGCACAGCTTCTCGAAGCAAGGGCAATTCAGACTGTGAAAATTGTGCTGCACCGCAGGCGATGTCTCCTCAGAAGATCGAAGTAAGCTGATTTCAAAAAGGCGCAGAATGAACCTCACACTACCAGCCTATACAACGACTGAAACTGCACACAAGATAATGGCGCAAAGCGCAAAAGCTGGCTCTCCATTACTGCTGTAGAGGGTTCGTTTGTTTTCCTCTTCGGCGCGTTTTCTTCAGCAGTTTCTCTCTCACGCAGGAGCTGGCATGCTTGATGCACTTACATCAGCCAAAATATTCCGCCTCTTGTTGCCTTCGGTGCCTTCCCTGCAACCCCTTTTCCACAAGGTTGTAGCTGTGGCGGAGAGAAATGAGCTGTTCGGACAATCAGCAATTCCAATCGGATCGCCATTATTTGAGGCTCTTCCTCCAGCCGTATTTTTTGTGGGTTTCGAAGCTGCCAAAGTCTACCATGCTGCTTTCAAACTCAGGTTGGCTCAGTAAAGCTTCAGCAAAACTGAAATGCGCAAAAGCCAGTCTAGCGCTTGATACAAAGTTAAACGCCAAATAGAAGACTCTATGAACATTTAGCGGCTCACGAGGGCCCTACTGAGTTGTTGCTCATAGGAACAAGGATCGCATTTCCCGTCGAGTGCTGGCACTCACTCCAGACTCGCTACACTTTTCAGTGACGGCAATGAAGGAAGAAAAGGCTTCTACAGCAGTAAGAAATTTCTAAAGTACTGCCTTTAATCCTTCGAAAGCGCACGAATTCAGTGAAGCCACTTCAAGCAAAATTTGTGTTCCCAATTGGGAACACAAATTTTGCGTGAAGTGGCTTCGCTGAATTCATGGGCTGTTTTTCGCGCCAAAAAGACAAGCATCTTGCGTTTTGGAACGGACAGTCCTCCTTCTGAAATGGAAGAGACTGTGTCGTTAAACGACACCAAAGCTGATAAACACATGGAACAACAATCGGATTAGCAATCGTGACAAAAAGATGTCATGCATTGAGAAAACTTCAGCTTCCTAATTCGGTCCACGCTCAAATCAGCATTCATCTCTCATCCGTAGCTATATACACGTGAAAACAGCAGTCAAAGCACTTCATTGTCTTGCAACCGCTGTGGCTGTTGGATTGGAGTTCAGGTAGCCCCAGGAATGAGTACTTACTTTCTGGTGAGCACAGACAATAAAAGTGAAGTACGGAATTTTCAGAATTGCTAGAAAAGCCTGGAAAGACTCTTTTTGCTGACAAGCATGCACAGCATGTGAAGGCCGTGCAGGTAACATTCCGCGCTGGCGATAAGAAAACGTATGCATGCGACTTACATCTTGAAACAGAGGTATATAAAGCGGCCTTCCTACATTCAGCGCAAACGGCTGCACCGATAAACTTGCCTGCTGCACGTCATTTCGGCGATGCATTGCCAGGTTTCGGGAGTCACGCCGAAACTTCAAGAGGCAGAGCTTTGGGGAGATACGAGGAAACATTTTACCTGGCGCTTCGCATTCAGTCTCACTAGATACTCCCATGATTGTGTGCGTTATGACACAGCGGGAAACATTTCTAGTCCCACTGCGGGCGTTCCAAGGCTTGTGCTCCTTGAATATTCCGCCCGTGGTTTCTTTGGAAACCGCAATCGTGGGGAAACGAAAGGAGAAAACGATGTTTCTGACCAACAATGGCAATGCAGACTCCAATGTAACACTACTAGTATCACCTCCATTCGAAGTTCAGCCCGGTTGTTTCCCAATCCCCATAGGTGGCTCACAACAGGTAAGCACCTTCTCACAGAATGTAATGCTAATCTAGAGCAGCCCAGTAGGCTACCTAGATGTGTTACATTAGAGCCACACCACTTGGGCGCCCCTTGTGCTGGGCACTTGAAGGAAATGCTCAACGCTAAGGTTGGTCGGAACTATTCTTGGCATATGCGAGCCAAGCAAATTCATGCAGCACTGTCTTTAACCATCAATGTGATGTGATAATTGGTTTGAGCAGGTAGTTTTCTCAGTGAAATCATGCCGGTGCGGGACGTTTGACACGCCCTTGGAGATAAAATACGATGATGTAAGCTAAGGTGCTCTGCACACTCTTGAGAATGTTTGTGTGTTTCTGAGTGCAAACGGAAAGCCAATACACGGCTTTTTCCACACCATGCTATGACGGCAAGCCTTGCGGTATCTTAGCAGACGTGCAACCGCTGTCATACGAATGGTGTGGTCTACGAGCTGTACTGTGCCTTAGGGTCGCGAGGAAGTGAAGCAGCTGGAATGCACAGTGGTTGAGGCTGCTGTTACCCTTTCAACGTCCCTTCTTAAGTTTGACACAACATTTGTTAACTTGACCAGTGAAAGATCTCTATGCATACAAAACAATTCCAACGAGCACCTGCCTTTTCGATGGTCGTTCGGGGCTTCCGAAGAACGCCTGGAGGAATTTGATGAAATTCTTGAAACGGTGTCTTCCGGCTCGTTCGCAATAAAGCCGGCATCTGGGAGAGTTTGGGCTAACTCTACGCTGCATATTCGCGTTCAGTTCACGCCAATCCAGGCGACAACTTACAACTCTACGGCTATCTTGAATATTATTGGGAGGTGACTTCTTGAACTGTTCTGTTTGCACTCCATATCGTTTCGAGAAAACTAAGTGAAATAACGTAGTACTGAGGCAGTAGCTTGGGCAACTGAGTGCTTGAGAATCAACGTTTCCAGGTATAACGAATGAGCACGAGGTATAACGAATGAACAACAGGGTTACCTTAAGCAATGGTGATTCCATTTTGATTACTTACTGATTACATTATGTCCTTGTGGTGGAACGCAGAGAAAAGAGTCTCAAGATGCAGCTTTGTGGAACGGGCACAGGCCCTCAAGCCAAGTTCACGAAAGCGGAACTAGATTTTGGGGACGTTGCTGTGTATACAAACAAGACGCTTGACGTCGAAATCGTGAACACAGTACGTCTGCCACTTCGAGGGATTTCCTTGCTGCTGTCCAAAAGCTGGCAGCGTGGTGACAAGTCCTAAAATGCTCCGAGATGGATAGGCCACGGACCCTACATCAGCGTAAAATGCCTTTGAGACAACCACTTCGTCTGGAGCATTTTTGTCTGGCTACAACTATAGCAATGCACATTCCAATGTCTAATTTTGCGTCTGGCAGGGAGATATTGCAGCAACATATTTGGTAAAGCCGCTCGTAGGCTTGTTCCCTGCGGGCACAGAAATTAATTTTATTCCTAGTGGCGGATGCATTTCCATCAACAAGGCTGAAAGAGTACAGATATCTCTGAAGCCAGCATTTGTGGGTGAATTCGAAGTTGTTGTGCCATGGGCGATTGAGTCTTCTCCAGAAGATATCCTGTTAAAGCTGAAGGTAAACTTCGGTTCATAAGCAGGCCCACTTTGGATTCAACATACTGGTCACGCATATAACTAAACTGCAGAGCTCCCATCATTGCACTTCTCTTGCATGAGAATGCAATGGCTGTCACTATCTGCAGTGCGCGCGTGTACTATTCCAGCTCGGTCTATCTGGTTACTATTCCAGCTCGGTCTATCTGGTTTCAGGGCAGAGCTATCCCTCCTCAGATTAACTTTGACGTTTCATGTGTTGATTTTGGAATCATCCCCTTTGGGTTTGAAGAAGTGCGCTCTATCACCTTAGAAAACACCAGCAGTGCGACGCAAATGGTCAACGCGAAAGTGGTCAAGAGAACCGACGATACATACTGCGATATCAAGATTAGCCCCGATGTTCTGACAATCCCAGCTGGGGCACTTGGCAGTTTCAACGTCATCCTTTGCCCCTCCAAGGCCCAAACGTACTTAGAAGAGGTTGCCTTTGGTCTGCCTGGCTTAATTGAAGACTACCTTACACTGCCTCTTCGGGGCTCAAGCAAGACTCCACACGTTGCTCTGGAGCCGGATAGCTCTCTTGTACTAGAAGACGTTTTTATACACACTGCAGCGACGAAGTCATTCACTATAAGAAATACTTCACGTCTTTCTGCTCAATTTACTGTCACCCTGGAGGTTAGGCTTTACAACGTCGAAAAAGGCGTTGCCAGTCTGTTTGCTCTGAATTCCAGTACCATTTCAGGTGATACAAAGACAGGACGCCACTCGCACTGTGAATTTGTAGGTATATTTTTGGTCTTTGCAACAGGGTGGAGAACACGTCAACGCAAGGGCAGCGCCGTCAAAGGGATTGGTTCCTCCCCTTTCAGAAGTCTCCGTTTTAATAATTTTCTACCCTACTGCGCCTGGTGACATAAATTTCAATTGCTTGGTACACATAGCAGGGCTAGACACTCCATTCCAGTTGGAAGTGCACGCTTGCGCTTCTGGACCTAAGCTTAAAATTGAGCCCAAAGAGCTTCAATGGGGAAAGGTGAGGCTTTGCAAGGTGAACGTGACCACTTCAGCTTCAAACGCGATCCGTATGCTTTCATCTACCACCCACAACGTTCTTTGATCTACAATGTCGGGATCCTAGCATCCCGCCGTCCAAAAGGATCTAATAAACAATGCTTTGGACGGCAGGTCAAAAGCTCTTGTACATAGCATCGGCTACTTTTATATTTGAAACTTTTTTGCCATATGTTGCTGACAGATTAAATGCCTTGACGAAGTGATACAGCAAGTCGAGGTGACAAATACCTCGCCTATTCCAGCATCGATTCGTTGCTGCATTCGGAGCAAGCACGGCTACTTTACGGCCAAAAACCCCGAAATGACTTTGAATGGAGGGGCGTCAGCGGCTATCTTCATTGTGGCAATGTTCCGTGAAGCAGTTGCTGCCACCGGGCAATTAACAGTGTCTGCAGTTGATGGACAGAGCTTTATTGTGTACCTGAAAGGACAGGTATAAGATAGTTATGCTTCAACTCCGTATTTATTCCCCGAGTACTCGGAGCTTTTACACAGCGTCACTTTAAAGAAGTTATAGCGTTCCAAGCATGTTGGATACGCATAATTTGGTGTATTCAGGCTGTGGGTTCGCCCGTCGTCCTGGAGGATTTCGGGCCCTGCACTGATTTCCAGCAGGTGTGCACTAGCAATGCCAAGCGCAAAACATTCAAAGTATTTAATAGGGGCAGCCGCATGCGTCATATTCACTTTCTAGATGGGTCAAGAAGCGCTTACTCTCGGCAGACCCCTGAATCACAGCGGAAATTCATGGTGCAGCCGAACGAGTTCCCCCTTGGCCCAGACAGCTCGATGCAGGTGAGGCATTTCCTCCTGGCGAAATTAAAATTGGGTATTAGGCGTCATCCTCAGTGTATTTGCCCTTCATTTCAAGAGCTGCAAAGTTCAAGTCTTGCTGCAGGTTGTAATTGAAGCCCTCAGCACATTTCCAGGTAGAGCTTCGCAAGTCATTATTTGCCAAGAGTCACTGGGTGCTGGGACCACACCTGTGCGCGTAGCTCGAACCCTCGCAACAGCAGACTTTTTCACGCCCAATCTTGTTGCGACGCCTTCTTCTTTATCGTTTAAGTGAGACATTGCAAGATGAAGCTTGCTCTGATAAAATGAAGGAGCCTCGAAAGTAGTCTAAATGCCATGTATTTTCTATTGTGGTAGTTGGTTATTCCGAGCCTTGAAGTTCCCCAGACTATGCCGCTGAAGCTTTTTGTGTTGTCTACAAGGCATGTTTGGCGACTGGAAAATGAAACGGGTATTCTTCGACAGTCGATCACCATAAGCAATAACTCTCCCATCCTTCTTCGATGCAAGGGGAAGGCAACACCTCCGTTTGACGTAGAGCCTAAAGTGTTCTCATTAGGCCCGCAAGAATCATCGCAAGTGACTGTCTCCTTTGACACTTACCACAATGGCAGGCATTCATCCCGAACAAAGTGAGCTTTGACATAACACAGCAGTCGCATCACATAAGCACCTAACCAAGCCTTTGGCACCTTAGTTTCTGAGCAACACTTTCCCCAGAAGCCATTGCTCTTCCCTAAAAGTAGTGATGAGAAGGGCCAGGGCCTACAAAAAATCGAGCTTACCTTGAGAAAAGATTTTCATTGCACGCATTGGGGGGTGCGGTGGCTGCGCGCACAGGGGATCACTAGAAATTAGCTCCAAAGAACATCCACGAATAGACGTGGTGTCACTGGAGGCAGAGACAGAGTTTCCAAACATTGAGCTGGAGGAAAACGTGCTTGATTTCGGGTTTATTGTGAATGAGACAACAAAGAGAATTCCTCTACGCATGAGAAACACCAGTGGCGTACCGGTGACGTACAGCTGGTTCTTGACAGACGCTTACTCAATCGATAACCTCAAATGTACAGCAACACGTATTTCAACACGGTGTGCCGTGGGCTTCGGGCCGTCCACTTTTCTTTTGAAAATGTAGCAGTAGAAAAAGAAAGCAGCTTGAGGAAAACTGTGTCATTCCTGCAGGTGCTGAGAATAATGAACCCGTGGAATCAGAAGGCTCCTCTATCTCCATCCATAAAGTCTTCGATTTTGCACCTTTTACAGGAAGTATTGGGCCAGGAGCTTCTGAAACAGTTAATGTCCGGTATTGGGGGCTGCCTAATCACCAGGTCTCCGCTGTTGCCTTATGCAGCGTGAGTCATGGACCTGAATATCCTGTGCGCCTCATAGGTACGCAGCTTCAGGGCAGGCATTCAACTGAACCAGACTAATTTCGCAATAAAGGACAAAATCGATGCACCTGTTTAAAGTCTAGTATCAGAACATTTGATAAATTAGGGCTTTGCCGTTATTTAGGTGCCTTGAGTGGTAGGCCGTGCGTCGTTTCCGCGCTTAAGGGTCGGCCAGACTGAATTCGATTTTGGCGAGCTGCCATACCTCAAACCAGTCACTGCAGAGGTAAATTTGATGAACGGCGGGTACGTTGACCTTAGCTTTGCCGTTGACATGGGACGCGTCACCAGACCATGGAGCATTGAGGTACCAAAAAGAGAGGGACTTATTAGGGCAAATGAAAAGATGAAGCTCGAAATAAAATTTATTGCGGGCAAGTAGTACTGCTCGAGGGGGTCCCATTAAAAGACTTTTTCCCTCCCTCCTAGCCATACAACCTGTCACTATTCTTTCGTATAAGTCAGAAATCGATCGAGTAACCGACAAGTATATGTGTGAAACTTCTTGGTTGTGCGTTTCCCATTGCAGGAATACCAGATGAAGTTATCGAACAAGTCTTCGTGGAAGTCGATCACTGTGACCCTATTGCTGTCACGCTTCGCGCCAGAGGAACATATCGATGCCTTTTAATGGGACTCCCTCGAGCACCTGATGATGGTGATTGCGACAAATTAGACCAGAGTGGGTGTTGATGCCTTTCAAAGAGTGCAGTCTGGGCGCTGAGTCGCTATCGCGAAATACAGCGATTCGTAGCAATCAATCGCTTCGTCACAAAATTAGCATCGCTCCGTTTATCTGCTCTCTTGCGATGTATGTATTTGAAGCAGATGCCTGTGATTCCGTCGAAATAGGGACGGCCTTGCCTACTTGGCAGCAAGCGGCAGAGATTGATCGGCAGAGCCTCTGCAAAATAATGCTCGAGTATTACAACAGAGTACGCTGCCAAATGTCACTTGCTTGTTAGGTTTCACAGACTACTGATGCTTCTCTGAGGAACAGCGGAAATTTTAGCCGCTTTCGAAAAAGTTTTGAAGGCATTGATTGCGCTGTGGTGCAAGGCTACGACATCGACGTCCAGGTGTAACTCAGGGCAGTGTACTGTGGATTTGCTGAACATTCCTAGTGGTGGGGAAAATGACAAGGCGACCGTTAAGCAGACTTCCAGCTCATCTTTATGTGTGAGGCTGGTAGTTAGCTTGATAAGCCGAATTATAATGCTCACTGCTGACTGGTTTGAATTACAACGTGCAAGCCTAATGTGCGTTCTTTAGCCCGCCTTCAAATGGATAACATAGCTGCAAGCCAGGTAAAGGAACTTTCTCAAGGAGCATCTATTGTGATTCCACTCTCAGTCAGCAACGATTTCTAATTTTCGGCTTATTGGGGAGGAACGAGCTTTCGCTGCAACTCCTGGGAAATATGTGCTTGACTTTGGAAGCGTTATCGTCGGCCAATCGAAAACAAGAGTAGTGCAGCTGCGCAATGCTTCTTCCCAGGCGTATGGAGTCAAGATTAATAAAAAGGTTGGAAAAATTGCCTAGGCTTGGCAGATGCACGTGTTTTGGCAGCAAACACGAAATTTGGCAGCCTGTCACAACAGCAAACATAATTGCTTTTCGACAATATGACACTTGTCTTCTCTGCAATATGCGCCCTGTGCCTTTACATCGTATATTTATTATATATTTGGCTTCACAACTTCCCTCTTTCACTTCAGGATTTATCTGGAACTGGATTTTGTGTGGAGCCAGAAGTGATAAACCGTCTGCAACCCAAGGAGAAGACGACAATTACTGTCACAGCCAAGCAGGATAAAGAAGAAGATGCTAATGTTCCACTCACAGCCTTTGTTTCAGGAAACCTTAGCTACCAAATAATTCTTAAAGCCAAATTCGTTGTGCCCGACCTTTCCCTGTCGACAGACACACTTGACTTTCAAAGCATCAAAAGGGGTGAGGCGCGCCAGGCATCAAGTAGCTTTTCTGGTCCTGAGAAAAGAATTTGCAACAATTTTATTGTCCTGCTGGCCACCCAATCGAGTTTCATGTTTCGAAAAACAGAAAGCTTGGATAGATTGCGGTAGAGTAAGGAAGGTTACTCGCCAGGCCACAGTTTGTCACAATTTCCTCCACAATTTGCATCATGCGCACGTGCCTAAGTACTAACTCTTGAAACAAGATATAATCTTGGGAAGACTGTTTTTGGCAGTGGCAGCGGTGTATTCTGCGGTGACTCAGGATTCCGCAAAACAGTGACGTTGAGACTCCGCAATGAGAAAAGCGTGCCTGCTCAGTGGCGATATCGGGACACGGTTGACAAGGGTGATAGGGCCCAACGTGAAGCACTTAGGTGTTTCACAGTTGAACCGAAACAGTCGGTTGTTGAACCAGGTGTGCCTGCAGCTGAGCACGCCTTTAGAACTTTGATGTCATAAGTATGCTGCAAAATATTTTTCGATGTGTGGCTCATGCTGCGTGAGTATCTGGAGAAAGCTTGAGCAACGCCCTTTTATTTCTTCGATTCAAAAGATTCCATAGCAGCAGTTGCCTTCAGGTCAGTGGATTGACTTGAAGGTTCACTTTTCCCCAGAGAGAGCTGGCGACGAAGTCTGTGCTCGACTGATTTTCTGCATTGAGGACAACCCCAAATGGAAATGTGTAGTAGCAAGAGGGGCTCCGGCGCTTCCTTGCCTGGAATTCGTCCCGTCCCTTGTGGATTTTGGATACAGCCTCCCTATGCACACATTGCGGCAAGAAGTAGTACTCCGAAATAACTCCGACGAGACCTACGAGATATTTTCTCTGGAATTCGACGATTTGTACAGGCAAACAAATGCTTTGCTTCGCGAATTCGATGGTTTCGATGAGTTGGGGATCACCTTATTGCCTGTCAGGTGATATTCACGGCAAGCAAGGCGTCTTAAATAAAGATTACCCACACAAGGGTATATTTCATACTGTCAATTTTTTGGTTGTGGCGGACTTACAACTGTAGTCGCCACACAAAATACAGTTGTTCGCCTCAAAACGCCGACGGAACGCTCTTTCCCTGCTTCTCTTGATTTCACTTGTTGTGTAGCAGTGTTATGACTTGTTTCATCGTTAAACAGTCCGGGTGGACTGCTTGCGTTCAGGCCTCCGGGAAAGCCCTGCTGGTCTAGAGTGCGCAAAGCTGCAATGAGAAAGGCTCTAAATGCCGCTACTAGGGAATCAGATGGGACTCTGACAAAAATTGAAACTCCTAATAGCGCACGAGGTGGGCTCCAAGGTGTTGCGAGGGAACCTGAAACCGAACAAAGTCAACAACTGGAAATAAGCAGCGACGAATCTGATTACGAAGCTCCTCAGGGGTTTCCTTATAGAGTTTTGCCGCCCTGCAGGTGAGTTTCACAGTCTTGTATCAAAATTCTGCCTGCCTAGCAGATCTAATGATTGAGCCTGCTCTAGAGATAAGTAGACAGAGCATCCAGGGCCAGGCCAATAGTTGATTATTCATGACTTTAGGGCTCAAGATGAAACCGGCATTGGAAACGAAAAAGGTTCGACAGATAACTAGGCGGATGTGAGTGCATGCTCAGGCAAAGTGCTATAATCGTAGGCCCAATTAGCAGTGGGAAGCGCCATGTTGCTTCCTACATTGGTGGTGAGATGCGGAAACAGTTAACCCTTGATGAATGCGTAGATTGGGCCTTATCTGCTGCCGGAAAGAAAAATAAGCTTCGAGGGGCTGGTGCAGAGAACGCTAGCGTTATTGAGGAGATGATTAAGCTTCTTGAAGTTCAGGAAGGCGATGGAGAAGCAATGGGCGGCAAAAGGAGTAGGGTGGCAGTTGCTTGCTGCGTTCCAACTGTCTACAATGTTTGCCACGGGCAAACTGCGGCAAAATATTACTAGCAACATCCCACAAGGAACAGCTACTAATTTAAAGTTTTCCAGCATCTTAAGCGCAAGTAGAAAAGCCCGTAATGCAAAAAATATCTACTGTGTTATCCAGACAACAAGGCAAGGCCCGGAAAAGCTGACCGCCGCGCAGAGGGCACTAACCCAGGGCTTCCACTTCACTGTCTCACGGCAGCAGTAAAGCTTCGTGTAGCACAGCCTGACTGCTTTGCTGGGACAGTTTTTCGCGTTGAGCCAAGCTCTTATTGTCCGTCAATTGCAGATGGAGCGGTTTCCATTGCCAGAGGTCTTATTAATGAAGACATTATGGTTGTTATTGTGAAGGTGAGGCTACAGCTATAAGGCTTTTCAAAAGCATGCAAGGTGCGGATATAAATTACTGATAAGAAAATCTAATACCTGAAAGCGTAGTGCCCCAGCTATTGGCATAACTGCGCTTTCTAACTGACCACTGTTGTCTTGCTTTGACTGTCACAGTTCGGACAGCCAGCAATGTCTCACCGCGAAGGCGAATCAGCGCACAATTTAGTTGCAGATGGCGTGGCGTTTTACCGGGGACTTTTAACGAAACAGCTTCAGCGAGAACGTGAAATAATGGAGCAACTCGACTGTGGCCAAGGCTCAGCGTCCGCGTCAACGTTGGATTCTAGACGCAAGCGACCGCCAAGTGCCTCAGAGGGGGAAAATTCTCAGTTGCCCTCACATGTTACGGAAGAAATTACGGAGTCATTGAAGCAAGAGTACCACGTTCTTCAACAGGCGCGCCAGAGAATTGAAGCCTACCTAAGCTCGACCAGAGCGGCACAATCATTTGTACAGGATCAGATCTCGGCTTACTCATCTGCAGAGAACGAAATGTTGAAAGAAGCCAAGAATGAACTGGAAGAGTCCTCAGCTCCTGCCTCTTCTTGTAGTAATTCAAGAAGGGGCAGTCGCAAGTCGTCTTCAGGAGCACCATCTCGCGTTATTACATTCTCTTCGGGGTATGTGAGCTCAGCGTTACCTATTGAGTCGCTCCTTGAACAACTGCAGCCTCTCAGAGAGCCAATTATCCCAAATGAGCCACCGATACCGGTCCCGGACATCCAGGAAGTCGTTCATTACCCTTCCCGCTCACTTGAAGTGGAACCCCCATCGAAGCTTCTGTTATTAACACCTCTCCCTTCTTCCGCGCAAGAAAAGCCTGAAGAAGATGAAGTGAGAAACAAGTCGAGGAAAGCAAGAGACTCAGGACAATCAACCAATACTCGGTCAAAATCCAAGCAAGACAGAGGGTAAGAGCAACAGCTAGTAAGCTTCTGCGCAGTTAGAAGGTAATGCCTCAAAAAACCGATAATATCTCTGCAGTACCGCATTATAACAATCACGCCACAGGCATTCAAAATAGTTGTGCTTTCCTGTCGCAAAATATTCACTATCAAATGCCCTTGGAAGAGTCCTTGACATAGAGTGAATGAGCTGTGCAGCGGAGAAGAAGATGGATTACTTGCACGATTGGCAGTGGAGCCAGGGTTCATGAAGGCAGCAAGGTGGATTTTGCAGCCTCAAAGCGAGCAGAGGTTTCTCCTTAAGTGCTTTGTTGATGAAGAGGGAGAGTTTGTTTGCACTCTTCACTTTTCTGTAGTTGGCGACCCCGAAGTATTTCGGCTAGAAACAAAGGCCACCTGTTCTGTACCGCGGCTCCTGAATTTCCCCGAAGGATTATTCGAGCGTAGTGTGCAGGAGAGGCCAGCTGACTGTGGTTTGAAGAAGACGTACATAACCGACGAGGTGAATATGCGCCTCGACCTGCTCAAAGAGATTTTGAGATCACGCCTCCACCTAAATTTCAGCCAGCCTAGTCACTGTTACAAGTGCTTATGGCAAGACCGAACTTCTCGCACCATGGTTCTAGAAATATGGTGATAAACATACGCTAGGAACCGTGCCAAGATTTTTACAAACCTTTTGGGGCGCCTGTAGAGTGTTACGAATAGCTGAGAGGCTCTGTGCCGTAGCTTAACTTACGAATCGTGCTTGCAGTACCTTGCACCACCCTTCGAGAATTCTTAAAATATGAGCCGTTGCACCTCCATAAGGCTTGCAAGAAGAACAGATGGGGAGGGCAATAGCAGATGCTAAAACGTGCTTGGCATCATCTTGTATGAGAACCTGATTTACGACGCAGGGCGTCTTTGATTGGGGGGAGCTTCTCTCTGGGCGTTCGACAGCAAATGTCAAGTCTCTGTACTCCAAGGTGATTTCAGCTGAAGAAATAAACCTTATGCAAGTACCCCCAGAGCTTTTGGATTTCATGACCTCACTTACATTGAAGAACGGGTCGCCGTTCACAACTACCGTGAAGGGGAGCTTTGCTGGAGGAACGAACACAGATGGAGGTGAGGTGATTAGAAAACTTTCGCACAAACTATTTTAATTGCATTCGCGCGAACTCTAAATAGATATCAAAATACGCTGCTTGAATAGGTGATCGCCATGTGTGCATGCCTCGTCAGAAAGACTGAACGTTCCTGTAAGCTCCCACAAAATACCTACCAATAAATAAAAGCTTTAATAAGTAACCAGTGTGCTGTTATTCAGTTGAGGCGATAAGGAGCCGTAGGACTCCCAAAGGTCAAGCAGGAGATCCTACTTTTTCATTATTTCCTTCTGAAGTAACGCTTCCACCTAACGGAACAGCACGCATGCACCTGTGGTGTCTACCCAAGTACGAAGGCGAGGTTGCAGACAAGCTAATCTTGAGCGTATCAGACAATCACCAGCCGCTTGAGGTAAAGCTTTTGTCTCGCTGCATAGCGCCTAAAATATGCTTGCAAACAGACAGCGTCGCGTTCGGAAGAATACTCGCGGGCCACATTGCAAAGCGGTTAGTCATTTGGCGAAAACGAGAGCACATTAGCATTCTTGGGCAAAATGCTACTAGCCCGAACGCCCTATTCTTGGTTCCCGTGACTCATGAACAAGCCACTAAAATTTCATTTGTGAGGGCTCATAAGTATCATCCAGACTACGAAATTCATGAATCCTTGAAACCCATCCAAGATTTGCGGCGGCGTACTTGAAAGCGGGCTTCTAGTCATGAGAACGACTGGTTGTTTTTGTGACCTTTAATACGCTCAGGAGAATCTTAATTGAGAACCCGACTGGTTTCGCAGTGCGATGGAGCTTTTCTACTCAAGAAATACCAATAAAGTGCTTTTCCTTTTACCCGGAGCAAGGGGGTACATTGGAACCATATTCCAGCCAGCCGCTTGATATTTCCTACGAAGCTTCTCTGAAGGCTTCTACTGCGCAGTGCCGTCTCACTTTTAAGTGTAGTGATGCTGAGGGAATAGCCAACGGCTCTGAAGTGAAATTCTTGGCAAGTGAGCAGCAACGACATCAGACAGCAAAGCCTTTTTTCAGCTTAAGCGGTCTCATGGCATTGCTGTAAGCTGTTCTCTCCATAGTTCCAATACCCATTACTCAGTGATCAGCAACAAGTCAAGTTGACCTCACTGCACCACCCTTTGACACTGAGAAGTTGCGCAAGGGAACATACGGGCAGTTTTCAAACGGGAGCCACTTTGCTTTTAATGCTTCAGGACTGCAAGCTTTTAAAACTCATGGCACTGTGAGAATCTTTGTGTTTCCTTGGGTAGTTTCGGCAGAATCATTTTGCATCGATGCGGGAATCGAACTGCCATCAAAAACGCGTATCCTCGATTTTGGCAAGGTGCAAGCGTACCAAGAAGCTGAGATACCCTACACTATCTTCAACAGGGGGAAATACAGCATCCAATTTGATGTCAAGTAAGCCTGCTTACATGTGGTGAAAAACTTGCACTCCCCATCCCTTTTCCTCACAGGAACTCCCAATAGAAACACCGGCCGCTGTACACTTCAGTCAGTATTCGGCAATTTCGAGACGTACGTGCTCAGAAAGTTGCTTCGTTGTGTTCTCCTTGTGCACCACAAGAAACTATGATTGGATCTCAACACGTTCCTAATAGCTTGCTGCTCGCCCAAATATAGAGAGTCGCTCAACCTATGCTCAACCTATTTTTGTGATCTCAGCATCAGTAGCCCAATGCTTCGAAACTTGCTGACGTTAAGTCCCCAGAGAGGGGACATCAGGCCAGGGGAACAACGAACGTGTGTTGCACGCCTTAGCTGCACTCATGAAGTTGAGCTCACAGGCACAGAAGAACTTGCAGTCAGTATCCAAGATAGTGATTCTGGTTGGCAGATAGAGCCTCCACTCCAGCCACTTCAAGTCATGGCGCTTGTAGCGTTCAACGAAATATCATTATCTCCCCCTCGGGGCCTCAATTTTGGCCCAGTGGAAAGCGGAAAAACAAGCGCATTGTAAGCCGTATATTTGAACCTGAAATTCTTAAATTTAAGATTGGATAGAAGCTATAGAAAAAGACTTTTTCTGGTCTGGCGGTATCTGGCAGTACATGCGGAGAGCGTTTTGCCACAGAAGAAGAACCTAACTTGAGGACAACGCTCTTTTAGTGTTTGAAGTAGCCAGAGACAAGCAATGTCGCTCACTGTGTTTCCAGGCCTGTCGTGCTGGAGAACAAGGGTCGTTTTACATTCGAGTGGTTCCTGGCTAACCAGGATTGCATTTTCACTGCTCCTGAAGAACCAACACGTGGAGCTGAAGCCGTTCAAAAGGGAGAGAAATCAAAGCAGGGAAAGCCGCCAAAATCTCAAGGAAAGACTCCAGAAAAGTTTCCTGGGGCAACATTTGGGCCTTTTAGGGTAGTCCCCGTTCGCGGCCAACTGGAACCTGGGACAAAAGCGCTTATCCAAGTCGAATACAATGCACAAGGAGATGAATCACACTCGCTCAATCTGGCATTGTTAGTAAGACTTATAGGCATCATGCAAATAGTTCGTGTGTAGTGTTTTTGCTTCAAGGCGCAGCTTACTACGCCTCTCATCTTATTCTTTAAGTCCATGAGAGTCACAAAAATTCGATATGGTGTGCACCTGATCAGGTCAATGGTGTGAAGGTCGATCAAGGTGGCAATGTCTCTGTTAGCTCTATTGGACCTATCGCTGCATTTTTTGCCGATCCGTTTTCACCAATAGATTTTGACGCCTACGGTCCCATCAAGCCAGCAGCAACTTATTTCATTCAAGGCCAAAGCAGCATTCCAAGCATAAGTCTCGAAGTGAGTTAGAGTCAAACGAAGACAGAACTCATGACTGCACGGATGATCTGTAAAGCTAACGCATCGTAGCCCATATTGCTAGGCAAATGCCGAAATGATCAATCTTGAGCGGTTTCAAACCGTTTTAAAAGGTTTGTGATGCTTTCAAGCAGAGTCCGTATGCCAGCAAGAGAAGTCACTGACAAAAAAGAGGCCTATCAAGTGCAGATTTTTACCACCATATAAGTTTTGCTGTAACTGTTGTGTGCAGCCAGAGCAGCTCTTCCACGAGCAGGAAGTAGTATCTACGATGGATGAGGCATATGCAATCTGGAAGAAACGCAGTGGAACAATTTTCGTGGAAGAAGAGAACTGTCTGTGTTTTGGACCGGTCATTTGCGGCCTGCCAGGATCAACTTCAGGCGTTGTTGAAGCGATACGGATAGACAATCCACAGCTTATTCCTGCAGAAATAGTATTTGAAATTAAACAGGCCGCTAAAGGGCTTCATGAGAAAAATGCAAGTAGAACGTTCTTCAGATGTTGACAAGGGTTCAAGTTGTTGCTGAGGAGTCCGCAGATCTTTCTCTTCTTCAGAGGCGTAGATATTCGGTACCCCCAAAAACATTTCTCTAATGATTTTGCTTGCTCTTTGTGCAGCAAGTGGCGTTGGACGACTGCCCATTTGACGTGGAACCCAAGCGTATAACTGTTGCTCCTCATGATTATGCATATGTGATGCTATCTTTCAAGCCAACAGCCTTGCAGCAGTACAGCTGCTGCTTGCGAATCGCGGTCGAAAAGTCTGCGAACTCGCTCTCTGGGCAGGCCCAGTTCGATCTACGTGGCGAAGGAACTCTCCCAAGTATAACATTCTCCTTTCCAGCTTCTGTTGCTCAAAGAGACGCGAGTACGTTAATCCGCCGTTGGCATCACGAGGTGTTCTTGACAGCAGCAAGTGCAAGGAGGTAGCAGTTGTCTTCAGAGTACAGACATGTGAACCAAGCTATTCGCTATTAGTTCACCAGAACCAGAGGGTGTGTACTGTCAATTCAGAGCCAAAGAGCCACCTGCCACATTTTGATTTCGGGCGGGTCGCTGTTCACCGGACCGTGGCGATCCCTGTTCTACTCAAGAATGAAGGAGTAATTCCCGCAACAGCCCGGCTGCTGCTTCCAAAATGTGACTTCATTGATTTCACCATGCCCCACTCACTCACTCTGATGCCAAAAGAAGAGCGTACCTTCTCTGTAGGTCCAACGCATCCAAGTCTTGTGAACTGATAGCTGCCCTTTATATTACGCTTCTTCACTTCTCCAGCACAGCGTAACGTATCAAGGACAGTGTACTGCCTAGGCTCGCTTGTAAATCTTGTGTTCCCGTTATTGCCGAGATTTTGAGCTCTGTAACTGTTTCAGCTAGCTTACCGGCCGCAAACGCCAGGAGAATGGGAATACAAATTTCGCATCTCGACTTATGCCAATCCTTTCGAAAATGTGGACATTCACCTCAAAGGCGCAGCTTTTACAGAAGAGCTTATTTGGTCAGCAGCGCCTCCGCTCAGCCAAGGTGGCCCGAAGAGTAATGATGGTGAACTCCTTGACGGAAATCACCTGATGCTCAACGAAGTACCACTCGGAGAGACAGCTGCACAAATTCTTTCGCTTCGAAACTTGTCAACGCAGGCCATCTCATTCGAGCTAAACGCTGAGTCTTTGGGTCAATTAAAAGACGTATTAGTCCTGGCACCAGCAATAGGGACGCTCGCTCCAAACGAAGCATGCGAGGTCTCCATTACATTCAAAACTGAAGAGCCTCTCAATGTTTCTCGCCACGCGATTACCTTCTCAACTTCATATGCGCAGTGTCTCCAAAGTAGTATGACCGCACCAAAGCCTGCTCCAAAAGCTAAGGGAAAAGGCAAGAGCAAGCAAAGCGAAGCTAGAATAGATGGGGCAACTATAGGGAAAGAAGACCCACCGCACCCGGAAGAACTAATACTTTACATATCAGGTGCAAGCGATTTTCGACAATGCGAACTGAACGTCTCACGGATTGACTTCGAAGATACAAGCCTCCTAAAATCGCGCGTATTTTTTTTTGTGGTGGTGCGTGGAATTGACGTGAATGTTCTCCAAGCCGTAAAGCTCATTTTTGCGTTACCAGCGTTTTGCAAATACTGTATGGTGTGTAAAACACATAATGCAGAGACTTGTGGTGCGTGTTGGACGCAGAACAACACCTCTGCGGTGTCTTTACCATATGAATTTTTTTTCGAGCGGGACAGTCAACGTGATGATCCTTGCTTTTATAAAGTAGCACCTTCTCGCGGCTGCATTCCTGGTGGGGGTCAGCAGGTGAGATCTTTGTCGGTGTACACGAGTCCCAGCAAGGGAAGAATGTGGGGCATAATAGCAACTGCTAGTGAACCATCATGGGGATCACTTTCGTGGCAATGCGCACTTTTGCCTGATGGCACTTTAGTACTAGAGCTACCAAGAGTAGGTTTTATGATGCTGGAAGGCAAGCCGGGAAACTAAAAGAGCACTTTCCTTCTCTCTTCGCAGCAAGTGCAAATAACATTTTCTCCCAAAGATATAACGGATTTCAGCAGAAACCTCGTTTGCGAATTCCCGAATTTTCTCCACGGATCATCCCGTGTTTCGGTGCCAGTCTACGCCACTGCTATTCGACCGATTTGTCACCTAGAAATACCGCCAACGGACTACTTTGAACGCCGCCCACAGAACGCTACTCTTGCACTCGACGACAATGTAGCGGTGAGTGCCTCATCAGGAATCCCACACAGCTCGCAGCAGTGTTTTGCTTCAATGCGTACTGGTGTAAAGGCTTTCGGCCATTGAAAAGAAAAAGTGGAAATGTAACATAATATCGCTTTTCACAGAGTGCGTAAACTGAGTGATGCATCCCTCTAGTTACGCAAATGCACGTCTGGGCGGTTGCAGGTAGTTGAGATTGAGGGCATCGGAGTTGGTGTACGACACATACGCCGCATATACGTGCACAACCCAACGGCCAACGACGTTGAATTTGAGTGCGAACCAGCATATAGCCCTGAGCAAATCGCAGCAACTCCTAGAGGCGAGGATTCGCCAATGCAGCCAATGCAGCCTTTCAAATGTATGACGCGCCGCGGCCGTATTCTCGCTGGTCGAAAGACCGAACTCATCTTTGAGTACAGCGCCACACAACTTGGTGTGAGCGAAAGGCTCTGGGCATTCTCTATACCTTGTATGTAAACAGTAAGGGTCTAAAAAGCGATGGCCCTTATAACCCTACTAGCTTTCCGCTTGCCACTAGCAAGAATCCAATTAGGAGCTCTGTGAGAACGTAAAAGGCGCTTCTGCGCTTCTATTAAGCAGAGCATATCGTGATCAATTAGTGGACCAAACGAGGCATGGAAATCGAAACAGCCTGAGTGGTACCTTTTCAGTGGTTTCTTGGATGGATTGTGCTACGGGCGCTCAGCAAAGCAACTGGTACAGATGCTGCTGTTGGTTGGGAGGACTACAGAGCCACGCGTTGCATTTGAAGTACCTCGAATAATCTTTCCGCCTACGATGACTGGGAGGCTTGTCCAAGAGACAATCATTCTGCGCAACAGAGAATCCATTCCGATAACTTTCCAATTTGATCGGTGAGCGGCATATCCTTGTGAAGGAAGCTTTCACTACAGGGCTCTCCATGGCATCTGAGGGGTTCGCCAAACAATTTGTCTGAGCAAGTAATAGATCCAATAAAATAAAAAATTTGGTTTGAGAAAACTATTAAATTTAATTATTGCCGCCTGGGCAGAAGTGCTTTTCGGGGAACTCGCCTTTGTTTAGCTACATTCTTCTCCACCACTTGCTTAGCCTAGTCTACAAGCTTCCTTCGCTCCACCTCAGAGACAAAGACGTTGATTTGTTCGGCCTTTGCTGTATCCCCTTTTAGCTCTCACCTGAAGGACACTGGATCGGAGCTGAAAATAATGCCACTTAGTGGCAGTGTGGGTCCGGAAAGTTCCACCGTCATTAAGGTGCAGCTGTGCTTCACGGAGCAAAAGAACATAAGCGTCAGCATTCCTTGCAGGATCGCACAGAAGTTTAGAACACTTAGGCTAGATATTAAAGGGGAAGGATACTGCCTCGTCCCCTTCGTGAAGCTCGTCGATAAAGGTGAGCTATGGGCACTTCACTAACAGCGGTCGCAGACGTTCTTTTCTTTGCAATATCAGTCGTTCTGCACGCCCCAATTGTTTAGTCTCCTGCCTTTGTACTGCTCGCAGCAAAGCATGAAAAGAGGCATGAAGAAAAGCTGTGCTCTTGTCTGTGTACTCAGAGGCCGAACGACCCCTGCAGGGGACTTCAGAGCGTTTCGACTTTGGGTGTGTACTAGCGGGGCAAACTAAACAGGTCATCCTGCGGATAGGCAACAACGGAAAGTACGATTTTAGCTTCAAGTGGATAACAAAAGACCAGAAGAAAGGCGACAGTCCCAAACGTATTACGATCCAGCCAGCTGCAGGTAAGCAGCCAGACCGGCTTCATCACAAAGAGCTTGCTTGACTCATTCCCAGATGCACGACTATAGCAAAGTAAGTAACAATGCTCATTAACAAATTTAGTCAGTGTCGCGACCTCTCACCAAGCCTCATGAAGACGCCTTCAAATAGCCTTCCGTACCTTTGTCTCACATCAGTTGCAACATTTTCCGTTCATGGTATGACAAAATAGAAAGGTTCAGCTCACAACATGCCACCCCAGCACTGTTTAGGCAGCTCTACGCCTCCACATGCCTTCACAGAGCTATAAAATTGTGCATTTACAATGCTTTCAACTAATGCCTATCCAAATGTGTGCTTGGACTCTGTGTGGAAGCGAGATTTTGCACACCAACCTAAAATGTTTTTGTGACAGTCTATTTGCCAGAACCATTACATCCCGTTGTGCGTTCAAGCTGTATTGCCGTGCCTTGATGTCAGGGTTTGTCCAGAAGGGACAAGTGTTTGATTGCACAGCTACCTTCATCCCGGACGCATCAACCACACTGCAGTCTTTGCAAGCAATATGCGATGTCCAGGGGAAAGCAATTTGTAGTCTACTGCTAGTTGGCTCTAGTACAGTCCCCAAAGTGTCCTTTTCATTCACCACCCACGATTTTGGAATACTGTTCACACCGGATACAATGGATGCGCATTATGACGCCATGCTCCCTGCACCGCGGATATCTTCTAGAGCTGTTCTGAAGATAACGAACACAGATGCCCATCACGAATGCTCCATCTCATCCTCGTTCTCGCCGACGCCAATTTTCGACTTTAAACCAGTACAATTTCGTTTGTCTCCTGAAGAGATTATAGAAGTCCCAATTACTTTCAGCCCTCGAGAAGCGAAGTTGTACCAGGCTAAAATCCCGTTCTTCGTCAACGACCAGCCCGCTGCCATAATACAAGTCTTCGGAAGGGGTACCTCCATCAGGTGTGAATCTCCATTTATGATTGTGCTACTGTAAAATTAACCCGAAAGATCCTGACATGTCAGCTTCTGCCATGAAACTGCACCATCCTGAACAGGAGGTGCGCACCCTCCATTCAAGAGGAAATTCGTGCGTTTTCTTCCTGCCACCCATAATCAAGGAGTACTCATCTGCTTAGTCCAATGCCAATATGCTCATTTTCTGGCAGGCTGGAAGCACAAGGCACGGACAACGGCGTCGTTAAGCTTCAACCAGTGCTGCGCGGAAAAGGCTCATGCCAAGTCATCCGCATTATCAACCATTCTAAGAAGCCACTATCTTTCTATTTAAAGAGCCCAGATGGACAGCTCAGGTCTTTGAGCTAATTACGTCTGACACAAAGTCAAAGTTGCCGCATTGCGGCAGAACGTAACTCTGCATGGGTTCTTTTGTGATTTTCGGTTCATTAAAAGCTTCCTTTGATTCCTTGTGTTACTCCCTTTGTGTGCATTCTCAGTGCAAATGGTGTCAGCTGGAGACCTCATTCTTCGCCTTCGTCGACGATTAAGTTGCTCCCAAAGCAAAGCATTTCGGCTGAAATTCTGTTTCGACCCACTGCAGCATGCAAAGAGTTCCAGTTACCTTTGGTCGCAGATTGCCAAATTGAAAGCGTTGACGGCCTTCAGACAGTCCCAGTTTTCCTGTGCAATATATCTGGAAAGTGTTTCGAAGCAGAGGTCAAAATGGATGAACTAGTGAAATGAAGATAGTTTAGTGCATGAGCGATGTGCATTTGCAGTGCTCACACAAATCTTCCTACATCAGAGGAACTGCCTGCAGAAAAGGGTGCGGGTGATATATTTCCTGTACTGCATTATTTGTGTGCCGTTACTTCAGCTTCGACTTCGACCCCCTTCTGTCGCTTTTGGTCAAGTTGTTATTGGCTCTTGGGTATCTCGAGATGTGCTCCTATCCAACATTGGTGAGCTGCCAATGACATTCCGTTTCTCAAACTTGGATGCATATCGAGGATTGCTAACTATTAGCCCATCCCATGGGACGTTGCAGCCGCAAGCCGACCTTCCCGTGACAGTCACGTTCCGTCCTACGAAGGTAATCAGCCAAGCCCTACACAAAGCGAGCGCGGTAGACAGGAAAGACAGCATTGGCCAATTGCCTGGTCCATCTGCTCACGCCGTGACTATATGAAGGAACCCTGCTCCGAACTAGCCAAAGTTGTCAGAATGTTCGCGCTTCATGTGGAGTGATGGCAATCAATATGACACGGCTTTCTGTGTTACCACTGTCTGGAGTGCTCCTTCAGGCCACAGAAGAGCTGGAGATCAAAGATATCTTGTGCTTTGGCAATGCCATATCTAATTTAAAAGAGCCAGCTACAGAAGTGGCGCGCATGCAATTTCCAGTGACAGGCCAGGGCATTTGCTTGCCGCCCGATGCCATTCACGTGGTGAAGTTTGCTACTAGTGTTCGGTCCCCAGTCACGAAAACTTTCTATTTGAAAAACACAAAAAAAGTGGAATGGACGGCGATGCCAACCATTTCGGTAGAATCCCCACGCGATGCCAATTATTTCTCTTTCCAGCCTTGTGGGACGGTCACAATACCTCCTCAGCAAAGGGTAGCACTTCAGCTTACGTATCATCCCTTGACGATGACTGCTGACTCAAGCTCCAGTCCTGACCAGCTTCTTACAAAACCGAATTCCCACTCACTTCCCGCCCTGCACTCAGCCAGCATCTTTTGCGCGCTTCCAGCTGGGGAAGCTTGTTGCATTAGGTACTTTAAGTATGCACATTTGCCGGTATTCCTTGAAAGACCCGCATCAAATAGATTTGAAAGCAACTGCCATGACTGCAAGGGCTTCGCCAGTGAATCCGAATTTACCCACTCCTTCGCTCGTTGGCTGTAGCCAAACTACAACCGTCTGCAACTTAAGGCTTATCTTCTCTCTTCAACGCGTGCCTTTGACTCTGAGTACTTTTGTAGAGCCCGAAAAAGCCTATTTATGCCAGAGATATGTGAATGTCGTCTATTTTAAGGTCCTTTTATATGGCATTTCTCTTTCCTCAGAATGATTGGAACCGCAACAGAGCCGACTGTAGAGCAGACAGTCGAGCTAGTCGCCACCTGCAAACAACAGACCATTGTGAACATCAAGATAAGAAACTGGCTGGGTTCAAGACAAGCTTTTAATGCAACTTACACAATCTTGCAACTGACTGGAGGGCATGGATTGCAAGTTCAGGTAAGCAAGCTGAGTGAAGTTATCTCTAAAATGATTTCAACGTTGCAAGAACCCAATTCATATTTCTTTGGAGCTATTTTGGAATGCTATAGGGGGGAATAACAAACATCACAGTGCTTATCACTGTTAGCTCTTTAGCTCACCTCGCCTGCGCTCCTGATGCTTAGAGCGCTCTCTCGAATTACGAAGCCCCTTTTCCTGTGTAGCGTGCAAGTAATTTTTTTTTAAACGCGCTCAGGCTCCCACTTTCTTAGATGTACCAGGAGGTCAGATTAGGGATTACAGGTTTTCCGTCTTTGCTTTGAAGCCCTGTAACTCAGTGATCCGCTTTCAATTCACAAATCCATCAACAGGGGATTTTACACTTGCGGATGCCAGAATTCAATTTAATGAAGGAGGCTCCATGGGAACAATCAATTTCAACGGGAATACTCGTCAGCTTTACCGTCACAGACTTGAGATTGAAAATCCGTCGAGTAAACGCGCAAGCATTCAGTGCACATCAACTCACCAAGAAATTAGCTTCCTACCACAGTCGTTTGCCATTGCTCCTCAATCAACATCCACAGTGGACATACTGATGAGGCCGACGGTCCCAGGGAGTGGAGAGGCAAGCGTTTCGTTAACTAGTGAGGAGTTGGGGTTATTCAAGTACCTTGTAAAGTACGAGATGAAGAACCCTGGAGTGGAAAAGCGTATCACATTTTCGGCACCTCTGGGAAGGGACTCGCAGCAATATGTTCGCTTCATGCATTTTGGGAAAAAGGCAACTGTGTACCAAATTAGTCTGGAATTTCCAGCAGAGTACTCACTTCCTCAAAGGCCAGCAAATGCACCAGACGTGTTTATTCTTGAGAGCAAGCTGATGCAACTCCAAGCAGATACTGACGGACAGGGGATTGAAATCTGCGTCCCCGTCAAGTTTGTTCCTTCTAGACTGCAAGACACCAAGGCCATCTTGTGCATTCGTGGCGCAGAAGGCCAAGAATACAAGGTAAAGCCTTCGAGATCAAACACAGGGAAGAGCTGCATCTGTTAATGCGCTGGATCATGTGTCGCCTTCGACATTTCCAACAGCGTCGCTGTTGCCTTCGTATTACTTCTGCACAGGCCCTTTTGGTTGGACGGGCCACGGCACCAGAAGCTCAGGGGCCAATAAAAGTGCCAAAGGGAAAAGGCCTTCTAATTGAATTTAAGAACCCCTTGGACACAGCAACGGAATTCGCAGCTCAGGTGTGGTTATGAGAGGCGGCGTACGCCGATATCAGTTCCCATTGTTCGTCTACAAATGCTGCATGTCGTAGACGAACAACAGAGTAGGCAGAGCGTCACATACTCCTTCGCATCACAAGCTCTTTATTTAAAGCGCACAGCTTCCTGTGTTTCATCTTGCACCCCGCGTTTAGGTAGACCAGCCAGTTTTTTCGATAGACAAGAAGTCCTTCCGCCTGGAGCCGCGAAAATCCACGACTCTCACCGTTGCGATGAAAACTGAGGCAAAAGCCACGGGTAACGTTGCAAATACACTTGGGATTATGGACTGTCATGAATCCCTTAAGGCCTAAGCTTACCGTCTGATGGAAGCCCGCTCTTAATGCAAATCTTAATGCAGGCGTTTGAGGTAATGTTGGTAGCTGCATGCTTTGGGTTTTCTTGTTTGACGACACCACCACGCCGAATCACAGCACACCTGCTTGAAGCTTTCGCTGCGCTGAGCTGTTCAGGCCGGTTGATAATAAGCGCCGATGCTCTGCCCGCATGGGTTATCTACCTCAAAACTGATTGATCAACTACATCCTCATCCGTGTTGTTGCCGACCATACCCAGCTGACATAGCCAGCTGCTTGTGTTCCCGAGAAGCGCTAATTAGGGGAGAGGTTCAGATAGATATGTCTCATCTGTGGGACCATTCCTAAGCGATTCAAGCCCTTAGAAAGTACAGAGATCATTTCGCTACACTGCAAAACCGAAGGAGCCTGGAGTAGCGCTGTCAATACGCAAGTTCGCCAGTTCGTGCGCCCAACCCAGCAGACCTAAGGCCCATCTTGCCATTCATAAGGATGCATGGAAGTAGAACGATCACTTCAGTTGGACGCTCATAATTTTTAATTAACTGATTTGCTTGGCAGGAGCAGCCATTCTCCTCTGCATGCTGCTCATCATGCAGCGCCGCTGGGTGCTGGATCTCCCCAACTTCCACTGCCAAAAGGCCGACCATGTGAGCTTCGGAACATCAACCGAGTCACAAAAACAATTGTGCGAAGAGCACCATCTACATCAGACTATTCGCCAGTGCTATAAGTAGTCGCGAAAAGCCTGAGCCTGGAGTAGAAGCGGCAACTAGTGCGCAGTTCCAACATATACTGGAGCTATTTCAAAGCGTCTGTATCCTGTAAGAGGAGCGCACGCAAGAACTACTCAAATGAGCCTGTACCACACGTGCTCGTAGTTAGAAGGTCAGATAGGCATTCCAATGGCCTCAAAGCTGGTCGAAAAGCTAGTTCCATGGAGACGTGACGCTAGCTTCAAAGCATTTTCTGACTCAATGCAGATAACAACCTAAGCACCGACAAACACATTTCAGTATACACAACTTTGACGGCCTCATGCTGCCCTCACACGACCATATGCTACTAACCCTCCCTAAACGTATGCTAACCTCCGTGTATATACGCTGACCTCTGTGTAAACAACGCAGTAAGATACCAAAGTTTGCTACTAATGTGCTGCTACTAGCCTGCGGAATATTTGCGTAGCCATATCATCAAAGCCCAAAGTGACTGGTCATCAGCTTCCTACGAGGGTAGCAGATGGCCTCAGTTCCCTAGCGAAATCACTTAACGCCATTCCCACCTCTAGTCTGAGAAATACACAATTGGCTTAAAATGCATAACTCCTGCAAACGCCTCCTCACCATCGTGGTTCCAGTGCCGGCGGGTGGATCAATAGCGAGCACGTGAACAGTACCATTTTACGCAAGCAAGTGAACGAAGCAAGGAACACTCCGCTACCTGTGCGGGATACAACAGCTCCAAAACGAATGCTTTTCCGGGGAGCGCCAGCGCAGCAACTTTACCTCCACAGCACAACTGGGGAAAAGGCATCTTCTCCAGTGTGGCCAACTCCTACAATGTAAAAAACTCTTCCCCCATACGAAGCTGCAAGCAGTCTTATTTGGCAGCGACATCCTCGCTATACTTGCCTCATGCGATCCTCAGTACTTAGAGCTGTATAATGTCTCCACACCCGAATGAGCTGTCGGTTTATCCTTGCTAGCAGGCCAACAACTCTACAAATCATCCGTTGAGGGATTCGATGTCCCTGGACCACCGGAGTTGCCTGGCTCTGTGGCTTGTTCGCCTGTCGATGGTGCACTGGCTCCAGCGCCACTTTCAGTAGGGACAACTGGGTCGGTAGGTGAAGGAAACTGCAGAGGCGTGTCTTTTTCGGGTTCTGGCGGTTCTTCTGTGTCTTCTGATGGTGAAGGGAACGCTATAATATCCACTTCTGTTTCACCTGGCTGCTGCTGGCCACCGTTAAGCTCTGGGAATCCAGAAGGCGTTGATGGAGCGTTTGCGTCAGCTGTAGGCAACTTCTTAAGCAAAATTTTAAGATTCTCAAAGCGCTCCTGATCCTCATCTTCGGGCGACATTGCCACAACCGCTACGTTTGAAATCTCGCAAGGGGTTTGCTTCGCAGACACCTTCACAGCAGCGACGGCACCTTCGAGGCTGCCCGCAGCATCACGGACTGCTTGCCGCGTGACTGGGTCAGTGTAAACCCGAAAGGATGTTTGCTCCACGGTTTGTCTAAGCTTGCTCGGGCGTAATTCATAAACCAGAGAAACATCGAACCCCCCGGGGGCCGGAGATATCCTACATGTAAAAGCCACTCCTGTGTGATGCCCTGAGTGATACGGCAGCGTAAGTCTAGTCGTGTGATATTCTCCACTCTGTTATGCCGCGAAGCGCAAGACACAATGCACACACACAAACACGAAGTACGAAATTTCCGATTCCGTGTCTGGGGAAAACAATATGGCGATTGCGCCATATTCGCCTGCACTTGTACTCAAGCTCGCGTACATATGGGGCCGCGGCTCCGCTTTCAAAACCGTCTGTAAGGTATGTACAGCTCGGATAGTTCACCTCGTCTAAAACGGCTTACTGTATGATACGCCTGTACGTCGAAAGTCCTACTGGCCGTGTTGAACTCTGCCCTAACGCATGGGGCAGCACTGATTCTAAAATGCAATGGGGCGCGGGACGCAGAAACTCGGAGAGACCCTTCAGGCACTTTAGTTGTCGACATCATCAGCATATCCCTAGGAACGCACTTGCCTGTGTGTACGTTCAGCATGTACATGCCATTGCAGAGACAGTGGTGGGCTGAAGCACCCCATAGACACTCCATAACCGCCTCCGGGTACCCACAAATGGATGGGTCAGGGCATTCTACTGGATCGCACGCCTTGACTACTGGCGTCGTTTCGTTTCCCACCGTCTTCATCATAGTAATGCATTGACATGAGTGTTCCACGGAGCCGTCCGAGACACATACTGCATCTGGTCCAAACGGCTGGCACGTGTCCTCATCGCATGCAGTCAGTGAAGCACACTTCCCCGTTCGCGTGTCGAGACCGTAGCCTGCCTTACACTTGCATATTTGTGTACCGGAATCTTTGTCCACCAGGCAAGCCTCAACCGACTCATCGCTTCCGCAATCCGTCAGTGGGCATGCAGACGGGGGAAGTTCGCACAGCTCGCGGTTTCTGTTGTACCGCCAGCCTGCGGGACATTCCGGTAAGCATTCTCCCGATGCATTCATTTGAAATCCATCGACACACGTACAAACCGACTTCCCTTGCTTTTTTTCACAGGTCGCCACGCCTTCTGGCCAACCACATGAAGGCAAGTAACAATCAGACGCCACGCACTGACGGAGTGCCGCATCCCACGTATAACCGTCTTTGCAAGCGCACACCCTCCCACCGATGCCCATGGAACAAGACTCAGCGTCGTGTGCCTCTGTCGAGCCACAAAGAGCTGCCTCCTCCTCTGAGCACCTCTTCTGGCACTGGTTGTCCCTTGTGTTGAGCACGTATCCCGACCGACACGTGCATATGAACTTGCCAGTTATTGGATGCTCACTGCATGTGTTGACCCCCTCAACAGGGCCGCATGGGGCCTCCTTATCACACCTGTCATAAGGGGCAGGCACGCATTTCTGCAACGCAGAATTCAGCACGAAATTCGGCGCACAGACGCATGTCGCTTCGGACTTGGTCTGTCCTGGAGGACTTGTCACTACCCTTGACGGGTAGCAAAACTTGACAGCTTCTGGTGGGCCACAAGCATTGTCTTCGCAGACGTCTGAGAAACAGCCGTAAACGACCAACAGCAAACCATACAGCTTTTGTCATGCATACCAAATATAAAGAGATACGGAGGTCATTCATAACCGTTGCGGTTAGCGGCAGGCACAGCAAAAATCTGCGCGCAGCAGCAAGGACACCTCAAATGACGGCGCGATGAGAAGCACCCTTCCAGCTCGAGTCAGAACGGCCAAGGCAATATTAAACGAATTCATTTAAACGCAGCACGGCCAGAGCAACCCATGTTTTCTTCGCTCTGAAGTGCTCTACTGATGCAGGACCGCTTGCTTGAAGGACGTACTCAGCACACACTTCTGACGGCGTTGGTCCGCAGTGTAGGGGGATTTGCAGACGCAAGCAGCCCCTGACAGGCGACCGCTTAGAGGGATATCTACGCAATGCGAAGCCCCATCAGAGGAGGTGCAGCTATGTGCAAACTGTTCACAGTCTGCAGCGGAACACAGACGCACAAACAGTCGAACACAGGCAACATCCCCGCCCGCATCTGGTACTAAAGAACACGAGACGAAGATATAATAGCGTGAAGCGTAGTGTATCATCCGTAAGCCTCGCTTCCAATATCAAGGACAAGTTCATGCGCCAATCTTCACCTTTCCGAGACAGGCATTAGGATGCTATAAACTCACTGCAAGCTCCAGGAGTCCGGGGAAATTGCTTTTCGCATGGCTCCTCCTTGCAAGTTTGAGGAACAACATCTTCCGTGTCTGGACAGCAAAAGCCACTGCCGCAATATACTTTTGAGTCATTAAGCGCCGGTTCCCTGCGGCTGCCACAGGAAACACCCTTTGTCCCCGTGCGGCACAGCCAGAAAGCTTCGCCTCGATGCACAAGAGAAATGTCGGAGTCGTTACTCGCCGCTTCTGCATGCGCGATCAGCCCCAATAAGACAAAAAGAGCCAACTGCATCAGCAGGGACAGCAGAGGGAACCCCATCCCCTGGGCGCAACGAGCTGATGATGCAGCACACACTAGATATGACTTTCTTTGATGCGTATGTCCGCTGCATCGCAGCCTAGAGCCTGTGCTGCAGATGTGTGTGAGGAAGCGCCAACAAGAGCTGGACTGCCAGGGCGTTTCGTGGCGTGGTATTATGAACGCAGAGCCCCTCACTGCAGCAGAGACGCTGGCTCCTTTTCAAAGGCTGAGCCAACACTACCACCAGAAACTGCAGCAGCACCAGAGCGCAGCTTTCGCCGTGAGAAGCACGTGTACCGACATCCGATCGCAGTAGATACGGCAGTTGAGACTTCAGCTGCCCTTACTTCAAAATTTTCATTTGAGAATAAAAATTGAAGTTCAGTGGAAAAGATACTTCAAAGAGATGTTTCCTTCACCTGTCAATGTCGTTGATGTGAGGCCTCCGCATGACAACGCGAAAAGCCGCGGGGCAGAACGAACTGCCCAAGCGAACGCACCAGACAAAAACGCGAATAACTCTAAAGCTTTGTTAAATTTTATGAGGAGACTCTGGAAGTTTTAAGCTGCTGCACGTACCAGTGGGACTGCGAGCAGGGCTGGACTGTGCCAACCAGCAGACTGCTGTTTGGTCCTGCAGGCGAGAGTATGAGAATGAGAAGTGATGAATCAAAGATGCGCCGTTATATGCTCATGGCTCACTGTGTTTGACAATTAACTAGAACAATGTGCTGCGTTCACTGCATCAGCGAGACTCTGAGAACGCCGGCGACCAGTGGAGAGGAAGATGCGGAACAGGAGGATGAGAGATGGCTATGGAGGCTAAACCCATAAGATATTTCCTGTTGCTTATTCAAAGAATTACTTCATACTAGGGGGTTAAGAAAGCAGCAAGATGATAGGACCAAAAGTCACATAGTGCTGCAGGCGCTTCACGCAGGAAGATGGACTGGACCAGACAAGCACTGTGAGAAACAGACACACTGGAGTTACCAGGCGGCCTCAGGGCTGGAGCGGCTCAATATTATCGTTAACGTCACAAAGTAAAGGAAAGTACGCTGCAGGGGAACGCACGAGCTCGCTGGCAGGCAGCCTTTGAGGCAGCGAGGGAGCAGACGACGAAATGAGCAGGGTGCATCCTTACAGCAGTGTAGACGGGTCCCACTTTTCTGGAATATATGCGCAGAGGTACACAATATGGCTTCCCGTTGCCACCACGTTGGTTGCATTGATCTGGCAGAGGACGTGCTGGTTGCATAGACTTCGGCCTAAACTCGCCAAGAGGCGTTTCGAGCCGTTCCAATACCTCTATTGACGGAACAAGAAGGCCCCCCTCGGGTGAGCAAGATCTTTTAGAGCTGCTTCTGAGGAGTGCTCGGAGCTCCCTGCGGGAGCTCCCTGCGCGGGATTTGTGATACCGGTCCGAGTACTCAGAATGAGGTTGCTCGGTGCTCCACGCTCCGATATGAACTACGAAGAAGCACATTGTTTGTCCCTATTTACTTAGTACAAAAGCGAGGATGCTGAGAAAGCCAAGAGCCTGTGAGTGCTGAACGGCCAATAAGACCACGGCGCTCATGGAACTATGTAACGAAGAATCATGGTCTTCCGTAGCTGCTTGGCTGAATGGTCTTCCCGTTGCACGCTGCCTTTGCCACAAGTTCTGCTCAATGCCTCTAAGAGAACCGTGCCAAGTGGCTGTCGCAAAAATAAATCCACCTGTGAACTACGCCGATACGTGAAACAATTTGACAATCCCCACACAGGGGGTTCAGTTGCACTCGACCGTGTTGTCGCTGTATGCACGATAGGTGCCATATAATTGTGGCTTTTTACTGTATCGCTTTGCGCACTCAGAAGTGACTTGAAGACAATTCTCCGGTGCACAAATAAAAGGGCCCAGCCCACAGAAACAAGCTCCAAAATTTGCGGCTGCGGCGATATGTGCTGGACCCAGCCTGAGTATCGCGTCAGCAGTGTGCAGCAGCGCCCCAGTGGCCAACGCAGAATCGCTGGCATATTGAACTGGTGGGGTGAAGTGCGCCGTTGTGGAGAAGCCATGCGGTGATTCCCCTGCTGGCAAGCAGCTGTAGTCAGTCCCCTTGTAGCAGCGTCTCTAGCGGAGTTTAACGTGATAATCCACAATTTTATGATCAATTGAAGGCTCCACTTATCGTTATCATCTTCAACGAGTGCATTGATTAGTATAATATTTCCTTCACGATGACACTGAGCATTACGCACTGCACCGGCAGCCCACTAAAATGCGCCTTGGCGTAGCCTTCGAGTGGTCGCACAGAGATATTCAGCTATATCAAGAGCAGCGCAGGCACTTGCATGGCGGATGTCGTCTTCAGAAGCAAGGCAGTGCACCCTGTCGGCAGAAGCATCAGGGCCACTCAGTCTGCAAGAGTTCGTGCAAAGGCTGGGTGTTCTTCTTCAGCCACGCGCGCACCTCCTCGCTGGTGACGGACACCGCCTGCGGAAGAGGCGGGCGAAAGGGAAAATCCTTCCCTTTCGTTGCAAGGCGAGAAGATATGCGCGTGAAAACACGCTGGTGGTAGGCGTCAAGCCACGATATTTCCTACACAAGCAGAAATAGGGGAAGCGCAGAAGCCTCACGGCTTTAGCTGTACAAATTCTGCGGCTTACACCGCCAAAAAGAGAATTAAAGCTGCAAGACACTTTGTTCACGTGAGGAACTGAATCTAGCTGGGAAGCGTGTTGCACAGCCAGCAAGCTAGTTCGCTGACAGGCATTCCACGTGAGAGCGAAAGTCCTGGCAAGAGCTTCCAACCTTTCGTAGGCTAACCTGGCGCGTAAGGAGAGAGGCGTCGATAAGTCTCGCTTGAATGGGTACGAGGGTAAGAGAATCGAATTCCAAAAACCGCCTGCCGCGGTGGCTGAGTCCACTCCTGAGCAAAATAGCAGCAACAGCGTGCAGAGGCCAAAAATAAAGCAGCTCCATGACTTCACGCCACTGTCTCTACGAACACAGTGTAGATAGAGAGCCAACACACAAAGTGCACACCCAAGTTCTCTAGAAGTTGGAAGGACCATGCACACTGCTGCAGGTTTTGCTTTCCAGTGTGCAAAGCCTCAGCGGACAGCCTCGCCCCATCACGCCGCACGCGGTATATTTACTACCAGTGGCACCTGAAAACTAACACTGGTAGCGGCACGAAATATATAAACAGCCAAAATATTCGCGGGAATATTTTTTTTTGCGTGTCCTGTCCGCTGGAGCAGGGGTGGCTTCCTCCTATGGCTCACGGTTTCACCGCCGCAAGGTTCTCTATGCGAATGCCGAAGGCTTTATCCTTGTAAAAGCCAGGCTCGATGGAGAGGACAGAGCCAGGCTGCATTTCATGAAGCGATGCCGCTCCCTGCCAGGAAGTCACACACAAAAGCAGACTAATCGGATAAGCACAAAATAAAACGTGTTTTGCCTTGGGACTTATTAACGGCATCACGTGCATTAGCCGGGAGAGGTCAACAGACGTATATGTAGGAGCAACTCTTTCTGCTACTGCAGCAGCTACTGCAGCAGTAGCCGTACTTGGCCCCTACCGTCAGACGGGGAGAAATGCCTATAGGGCCTTCATGCACGTTGAGAAAGTGCCCAACTCCGTGTCCCGTCCCTAAAGTGCAACAGGTGCGTTCAAAAACGTCGGGGAAAAATATGCGCTCCTGTGATCTTCCTTGCTTTTTGTGTTTTGGGGCCTCTGCGCTGCTTGGGTTCGTGTTCTGCTGCGTCCGGTTGTGTGTGAGTCGCTGTGTATTGAGCAGTCATGCGCTTCGCGTGGCTGTTAACATCTTTTTGTTAACATGTGCTGGAACTTATTGCTACCGTGTTCTGCCCTATCAATGGCATCCTAGCTTACAATCAGTGTACACTGCTATGTGTCTGTGCGTCTGCCCGTGCTTGTCAGAGTGAACACGACTTAAAGCGGAATTTACCGTGCATATAATCGAGGCCCTTGTTCCAAAGGTGTTGTCTCGCTAGTGCATCGATTTGTGGTCCTTTTGAGCCCTCAGGAAACTTTTGAGCGCTCAGTCCTATCATCCCCTGTAGAACAAACAAAAACAATGTATAAAACCAAACCCCGCCAGGTTAGGAGAGAGCTCCGCAGGACCGCAAAGGTTCCATGGCGGCACAGGCAAACGAACATACAAAGACAACGCAGGTTATATTCGGAAGCGTGGCAACACGAAGAGAAAGATGCCCATGGAGATAACGGCCATCGCTCGCAGACGATCAGGCATGGGAACGCAGACAACGGGCTGATTTTTGTGTATCTAGGCTCCATAGAAGCGTTTCATCCACTGTTTTGATGCCTCACCTTCAAAACGAGTGTGTAGGCCTCCTTTTGTTCATCTGTGGGCTCGCCAAGGTGAAGCGTGCGGGTAACGTCTGTAGTTCCTGTGAGATACTGTCCTCCCGAGTCCAGCAAGAATATTGGGGATTCATTTTGAGCGGCAGGCTCCCCACCTGGGCCCCTTACTGTAACGCATAGCAACCCTTCAGGCTCGGACATGCGGGCCTTAAGCTGCAGACTTGTCTCCGGGCCTGGCCTGAAAACACCGAAGGCGTAATTGGTAACAATGCTTCTTACTGTTCCTGCTCCAGTAAAAGGGAAACCCGCAAGCACCTGCGGATGACGCATTCTCACCTGTAGTGGGCTAACGCACAATTGGAACCGAAGCAAGATATTGATGCAAAGGAAGTACCCCTAAACAGATCAGACTTTCAGGGGGAACAAAAGGCGACACGCAAGAGCAAATGAATGCAATGAATGGGACTACGAGCAAAAATTAAAGACATACGCAGGTACACAGCCTCATAGGCAACCCCAAGTAAATATCTAAGCGGTAGGCATTCTCGTCGATCGCCTCTCTCCCACATTGGGAAGCAGCGGTCCAGAAGCAGCCGTCTCTGCACTTGAATGAAGCACTGTTGGGACTTGCTTTCGATGCAAGTGTGTCAAGTGTTGTTTACCATGGCCTCTCTGGATGCATCTACGGCTTCCTTCAGCGTCCATTCTGTCAGGATGCATTCTTGTCCACCATGCTCCTGCTGCTGCGGCGGCGTCATTGTCGCTCTGGCATTGGCTAGCAGTTGTTTCTCAAACCAGCAGAAGAAAGTGGCCAGGGCCACCCCGTCATCCTCGTGAGCCTCGGCCATCCCTTTGAGTTCCTTCTCATCCTTAGCAGCCTAATAATGCAAAAAAAAGGCACGACAGGAGTCCACAGGAAGTTCTAGCTCAGAAGTACAGCGGAACTTCTGGTGGCACTACGTAGTTGGACATGCATACTATACATAATGCACGGCCAACTCAGCATTTGTTTTCCTCATTGCTTTAACACTTTTTCGTGTGCACAAGCCGTTGAGTATACCACTGTGGTGCAGGCTGCGCGTGTGTTCGTGTGTGTCCGCTTTGCAAACCTTAGCAACAGAGACAGGTGTGTCCTTAACGATAAGGCGTTTCGAGTCAGCCAGAATGCGGTGTATTGCCAAGTTTATTTTGGGATCCAGCCAAGCCACTCGCTGCTCATCAAGGGCCCCTGCTATCTGCAGCTTCGACCTAGGTTCCTGATGTGTTTTGTCGCCGCCAGCGAGAAGCCAATCAACAGCACCGAGCAGGCCCTCATGCGTCTGCTGCTGCAGATCCTCCGGCAACTGCTGGTGCTCTCGCTGCAGCTGCTGCTGCTGCTGGCTAAGATCCCAGGTAAGGAGGAGCTGTAGGTCACTGGCGAGGCTTTCATAAGGCCTTAGCACAGCACCTTCTGTCGCCAGTTCCGCCTTGGCCGAAGAGGACACCCTGGTAGGGTCCGTGTACACCCTGAATCCGAAACTCAATCAAGTCGTTGGTTCACTGAAGAATGTAACATTACAGGCACAACGGAGTTTATACGGAGGTCTGTTCTGCACAGAACTAGACAGATATACCACGCAGAGAATGGACAAAGAAGAGGAAGGAAGCCGCTCACAGTAGGCGCCAGGGACACGGTTTCGCACAGTGGGGATCCTCAGCAGAAGCTACATTAGGGCCTTTGGCCAATAAGGCGTAGGAATAAAAGACAGTGCTGTTTGGTGAATCAGATCCTCGCAGGTTCGTAAGCCACGCCACTTCGTCAAGACTCTGGAGAACATGAACGCACCACAAAATCTAGGGTTCACCGCCTGGCCCCCTCACGTGTGTTCTCAAAAGTTGAGGGCCCACACATACAGAATTTGACACAGCCCTATACTACGCAGTGTGCACCTTGGCTTCACGAGCCCTGAATCCCTCAGCAAACAGCCGGAACCCGTCTCCATAACATTAGTCCACGAAGACTCACCGAGAGCAGCAGAAGATCTGCGCCTTCCTTTGCCATCGTCTGGACCGTCCTGGCCACCTTTTCCCGCGTAGACAGTCCTGCGGACACGCCTCCAACGCTTATCCCAAGGCTTTTAGCCTTGACAGTATAAGGACGAAATACCAACAATTTCTTGCCCTTGCGTCCGGTTTCCATGACTGCAAATTCAAACCGGGATCTAATGCATACATGCATGCGACTATGTGCCCCCCTCGCTGCTAAGTCCTCTCTCACCCCTAAATTCCTTTGGATGCACGTACACGGAGCTTGAGGGGAGGACTGGCCTCTGGACACCCCATATCTCATCAACAAGGTTTCGATCCAGAGGAATGATGTGCCTAACAGACTCGTCCTGGCTCCCCTGAGCCAGCACAAAGACACCAATTTCGGGTTCCCAACTTCGGTTTAGCGGGAAAAAGAACGGCGGTGTAAACTCGAAAGGCTCTAGCTACCTGGTGGGTTTGAGCCTCTCGCTGAACGTTGAAACCGGCATCCTTTATCTGGCTAAGGAGTCCCAGTGAAGTTGTAAAAGCATCGACACCGAGACGCCGAACTGCAAAACAACACTCAAAGCTGAAGCACCTTCAACCAGTGCACCGGTTTGGTTTCCCGCTAGGCTTCCATGTTCCTAACAAGGCGCAAACTAAATGCTTATGGTGTCTTCATTCGACACACGGCTATAGCGTCAATGCTCCATTTGCCCTTGTATTAATCAATTGTAGCTTAATGGCAATCCCAGCTTCACGCGACAGACGAGGCATTCCTAGAATCCCTAGGTTTTTGAGCTGACTTTTCGTTTCTTGTTTTAGGAACTGAGTGAGCGTTGGCGTGTTTCCGAAATCCGATTTCATGAGCTGCCATAATCCCACGGGCAGCTGCTGCTCTGCCTGAGAGAAGTACCTGACCAAGGCAAGCGCAACAAAGTGTATATAATACCAAAGACATAGCGATGGAGGGCCCCCACAGATACAAATTCAGGTGGGACAGAGCGCGAAAGCAATCAATTTGTGCTATGCCTCGATCATTCGTATAACTGCGCATCTCTGCCTGTCTCTATGCATATTTCCGCCTTTCTTGATCTTCTGTCGCAAAAGAGAAACAATGCAGACGATGCGCCGCAGCTGGGACAAAAAATACACGAAACTCGTCAAGCCGTCAAGGCATAGCAGGCTTTACAAAAGGCGGCAGCGGTTAGAGTAAGTAAGGAGTAAGACGCGCAAGCGGCTTATTGAGGAGGTCAGTTCAAGACTCTCCTTACCTTCCATCTGTCCAGAGGAATGCACTGTCTCTCGTTACAAGAGCCAATCCATTTGAGCCACTAAAATTAGACAAAAATGTCCTACGGGCAAAGGCGCTAGCTGGAATTTCGCTACCATGAGCATCTGCATCATCAACTATCAAGCCATCCAGCTGATGAGCCTGAAGAAGCAAACGGAGAGCTCCCAGCCGCTCGGCTGCGGCAGCGTCGATTCCCCTAGACACCATCCTGCTGCTGCCGCTGCTGCTTGTCACGGCGTAGTGCAGGAACTTGGGAGAAAGGTAGGTAGCAAGAAAAGGATTAAAGGGAAAGGGGAAACCCCCAGTGACAGGGAAGGCAACGGAACTACTGGAGAAAAAGCAGCAACGAACTACAGACACACATAAAAAGACTCGGCCCCACGCGTGCCGCATTGGCAGCACGACTAATACGTACTACCAGTGCTGCTCCTGATGTTCCTGACACTCTTCCTGATATTTCTAGCGGTGGAGTAGATATATTTCGTGAAATCACAGACACACACCTCTGCCCGTCACCTGACAGCTGAGGGTGCGCGATGCTGATCGGAGTGTTTGCAGGTATATTCCTGACAATGCTGGGTACAATATAATCAGACAGACAAGGAAACGAGAAAGACTCTCGGTTGGCGCTGCGTAAACCCGCAATTCGTCTGTGTGAGTGGCTGGCTCAACCTTTGTGGATCATGCAGGCTGAGCAGCTGTGAATACCCGTTACCCCAACACCGCTATTTAGAGTCAACCTTTCTGCCGGCCCAATCTTCGTACATAAAGCCGACGGAGTTCCTTAACTACAGAAGATCAAATCTAAGTCTCTTTCTTTCGGCCACCCCGTTGATACACCCCCGTGCATGCATTTGGGAAGCCGGGAGCAAGTCACTGCAAGAAGGTGGGCCCCAAAAGCCTGTGAGGGACAGCTCAGAGGTCGCCCTTCCTCTCACTTGGTCATTGCTCTGAGAAAAATATACAGCTCCTTGTCTGAATGACTCTATGCGTTTACGTTTCCTCTCCGGCTCTCCACTTCCACACCATGAAGTGATATCCGCACTATAGACCAACTGCATTACAAGGACCGAAGAAAGGGTCGCATTCGCCTTATCGTAAATGCGTGCACCTGCAGAATGACCAGTACATTTGTCAGCCGCTTCGCACAATTCCCAGAAGCAGTAGCAAAGAGAGCAATACTGCGGCTCAGGCTCATGCGCTGCATAGTTGCAGCGGCGAAGTATCGGAGCGAGTGTAAGACAACGGAGTTGAACAGCATAAAAGAAGTAAATTTGGAGTGCAAAGATTTTTGCGCGAATAGGCGCAGCTACACGGGTTCAGGAACAGCAACAGAAGCAGGGGAACAAGCGACTACGTCGGTTTAGGAAATGACTGAGCGATGGATCTCACAGAAGAAGCATTACTGCCAGATATGCAATACCTGGCTCAGTGGGCACATCGTGGTGAGTGTATCGGCTTCTGCTTCTGTATATTTGCCTCCGCGTTCCCTGGTATAACTCCCTGTCATCGCATCCTGCCGATAGAAGTGCTGTTTTGGCTGTTGCAGTCCCGTCTCAGCTTCTGTACGGCGTTTCATGCGGCGTAGCTTGTTATTTTCTGCAACGTATCAGAAAAAAGCTGTCAGCTTCCTGTGGCTGACGGCTTGCCACTTGTTCTCCACTTGTTCTCAGAACGTCAAAAAGCATGAGCAGTCCACTCGGCATTTAGAAAATGCACGGCAGCAATTGAAAAATGCGTACCAGCGGCATCAGGACAAGCAGAAGCAGGAATGTTTGCTTCAGCGGGAGCTGCAGCGAATGGAAGCTGCTGCTGCTGCTGCCATGCGTAACGATGAAGCTCTTGTTGCATCTCGGAGTGGCGGGCAAAGAGAGAACCTGAGAGAGACAACTAGCTGGGCGTGCGGCCCTTCACCCTACGAACAGCTACAGGCTCAGCGGGAGGAGAAAAATAGGATTCAGAACTTTCACAATGAGAGGAACCCTAACAGGCGTAAGTCACTGGCTCGACTAGTTACTGCCTGCAGACTGGGGATGATGGGGATCTTGCAGCAGCACGGTTTTCTAGAATATGAAATCGTTTTCTTTTGTCGTACAACTCTGAGTTTTGGTGTATGTGGCGTGGACACTTTACAGCAACTGCAACAGGCGCCAAAGTTGACGGCAGTAACAGCGACAGCAGCAGCAATATCGCATGCAGGAGTGACTCTTGGGAATTTGTGACAGACCAGGGACTTCCCTTTTTCCGAAATAAAATTTCTGGAGAGGTTTCATGGACACCACCGCCTGGCGCCAGCTATGTTGCAGCAGCTGCTGCAGCAACTGCTGCTGCCGCAGCTGTGCCCGCCGCTGCGGCAGCAGCTGCTACAACAAGTGCTGTTCCAGCACGCCCAGCCCTGCGCATAATTTCCGTCAAAAAGCCAGCAAAGAAAGAGCAACCAGACAGGTCGGGTATTGTCTCGTCATCTTCTGCTGCAGCCGCGGATGATTCTGCAGCGCGCAGTTCTGTTGAAGCACCACGGGTTGCTAGTGCTGAGGTAGCACCGTCTGGTGATGCCGTGCCCTCATCCGTGGCGGGAGCTCCTCCTGGATCCACCACTTCGACGACTGCTGCCGATTCACCAGTTGCTACGACGCTGCCAGCTGTACCTGCAGGTTCACTCGCTCCTTCTGCAGCAGCACAGGGAAGTGTCAAAGCAGAGACGCGTGATTCATCAAGCGCTGACGGCGTAGCTCATGGTGCTGCTTCAGGTATTGACTTCGCCGATGTCCCTGCTGTATCTTCTGTCGGTTTGGTGCCTGATTTTATTCCATCGGGATGTGGCGACAAGAACGGCAGCATTCCTCCAGACTATGTGTTGAAGAATGGTCATAAGGGTGTAGGCTTGTATAGGGACCGGCCCGTGCAGCAGCGCGAACATAATCGTTGCAAAGAGCGACAGTTCTCAAGTGGTTCAAGGCTGCTTCATCGCGAACACTTGCGACAGCAGCAGGAGGCACAAGAGCATCATGGCCAACAACAGCACAAGACAACAGTTCGTCTTAAGCGCACTAGAGAGGAGCAGGAGACAGCACCGCGTGGCCCGTCAACCGGTGCCGCTGCCGCTATAGCTGCTGCGGCAGCAGAAGCTGCGGCAGCTGCAGCAAGTCTGTGGGGAGACGACGAAGTACCAGCAACAGCGATTTCAGAGGAGGAATGCAGCAACGAAAACGGCATCAGAGCAGAGCCACCAGCAGCAACAGAATCTGTGGTTCACAAAGCGCCTCATCCTCAGGGCGTCAGAGAGAGCCGTAATAGAACCATTGAAGAGGGCGAGAGCCACAGCTTACTACAGGAAAAAGAAGAAACAAAAAAAGCAGCAAAGGCCGCAACAGAAGAAAATACAGAAGCAGCAGCAGCAGGTAAACAAACAATTCGTGCTGCAGAGGGCCCCACGATTGGCCCTTGGGTAGAAGCCAAGGAGGACGGATGGAATGCGATCGCTAGCAGGCAACAGCGGGAGCAGCAACTGTTAATGCTGCATCAGCAGCAAGCTCAGGAGCAACAGGAAGGGCAACAGGTAGATGATGACGGTGAGCTTTGCTTGTTGTGCTGTTAACCTTCTTGTTCAGTCCCCCATCTCCTGCCTAGGGTCTAGGGCACTTTTGGGAGCATAAGGTTTAGATTAGTTTTTGCATGGTTTCATTTCATGTGCAGTGGCACGATTACGGAGACTACGGGCCCAAGTGAAGCGGCATGGCATCCACCATGACTTCTCATGGAGAAAGGAAGGAGAAGCGGCTTACGTATACAACACCAACAGCAGCACCGACGGGCAGGGCATTGAAGTGAGGGACCATCGTGTCCCTCTGGGGCTACCCGCTTTTTCGTGAAGCTTTTGCCGATACTTTGTTGTTTGCGTGTGTCTTGCTTTTGCCTAATCCCTGTTTCATTTTCTGTCGGATTACCATGTTTATCTTCCTATCTAGGCATGGCGAAGCCTTTGCTGCCCATATTAATCTTTCCCCCTGTTCGTACGTGAAGTTTACACTGAATTGTTGACTTGCTCTCGCTGTTTTGTTCCTTCGTGTGTTTTGGTTTCACCGTCTTCGCCAGTGTGGCCCTCTTTGCTAGTTCGTTCTCATTTTCCCAGACTTGTGGGGTGGGCCTGCATGTCTCCACTCAATTGCTCTTTGCTCCCCGCATTTACCCACTTTTTTGCAATGCTTGTCTTTTGTTTCCGCGAGCTCTTTGTCACCAGTACAGCATAGCTGCATGCTTTAATAGGGAAACGTCGACGTTGATTATCACTTTGTTTTCAGATCCGCAGTCGACAACGCCCGGCGGCGTCTCGTCAACAAATGGAGCAGACAGAAGGAGCTGAGTGACGTCAGCCCTCTGTTCTGTTCGGTTTGCTTGAGGGATGGATGGTCCAGACTAAGGAAGATAGCCAGTGTTACCGTCACCTTCCATTTAGGATTCAGCTTCTGTCATTGAGAGCATTATCGGTAATAGCAAAAATAGCAGCCGTACGAGTAGCAGCACCAGCAGCAGTGGTTGCAATTGCAGCAACGACACTTGCAGCAGTGGCTGCTGGCAGGCCAGCATGGGGGGTCCAGCCAGGTGTACGTAAAGTGCGCGTTGGTATTTGTCAAAGTAACCTTCTGTTCACAGCGTTTGGAGTTTATGTTCACGTCATAGGCTTGGGTAGGTAAGCCACCCATGGGCATATAGGTTGCCAACGCATGAGCGCGTCATAAGGGCTTTGAGGCAGAGAAGTGAGCGAAGCTGGAGAAGGGGAAGCCAGTAAACAATAGGCACAAAGCACAAAGGTTGGCATACAGTACATCACGTGGCAACCTTAACTCCCCAGGACCTAGCACGGCATTCGGAACGTAGCTCACGTGTCGCGTCAGTCAGAAAACTAATCTCCTCCGTACATCTGCTTCAGTCTCGGAATAGGACGATCCTGTTTTTTGGTATTTTCGTGTGTACTTCCATATATGCCAGTTCACCGAGTCCGTAGTTTCTAAGAAAAGTACGTCTAATGTGCATTTTGCAGTACTTTGTTTCTGGCAAAGATGCCTCTATACGTGAAGTGCATCACATACTTTAGTACAGCACAAGGCTGACAGGAGTGCCCCTATGGGTACTGAAGACGCGCATTAAAGGCAGTCCTGAGACCCGCCGCGACGATAGCAACCACAAGGCCATTCGCTATGCGGAGTGTAAGCCATCTATGCAACTCCTCACGCTGTTATGTGGCTCGGTGTCTGGGAGTTACCTGGTGCTGAGGTAAATGTTTCGACGCAAAGCGCCTACCAAAGGCGGGAGTGAAGATCGCTTATAGATGAGAAGCAAGGCTGCGAGGCCGGATTGTTCCTTAGTTTACGGTGTACATAGAGTCGGTAGTCTGGCCAGGTGTACGTTCCTCCCCGGACTTGCTACCTTGCAGCCGCGAGACCCAGAATTTGGGTGAGTTGTTCGGCTGCGCGGCCACAGCACTACTTCAGTGTTGTTAGTGGAAATGGGGGCATCCCTCATAAGGTTCAGTGCTACTCCGCAGAAAGTAGCCCACTACGAGGGGACGAAGGATTTGTGCGACTCCCCACGCATATTCCCAGGAACAGGTTGGCTGCATGGTTCGGGGATAAGACGGCAATGGATTTCCCGCACGACCAAATCGCCACGCTGAATTGCCTTCCTCCCGTCACCCTTTCCCCACAATGGCCTCACTATACGCTGGATAAGTAAAATTGACCGCTAGCCGTAGTGCTGCACCGTGCATAGCAAAGGTCCAGCTTGATTGCTGGGCGCGGTAGAGCCAAGAATGTATCACGCCCATCTCAGGAGTCCCAATTTGGGCCGTTAAGGACCACGAGCCACAAAGTAATTATTTCAGGATGAGTAGTTGACTGTTAACGGTTGTCTAAGCGGTGGGCTTTGATGAGTTCTGCCTGGGCTCTGTGATAATCGACAACAAGTCGATTCGGCCACCTGCCCCGCTCTGGTTCAGTGGATGTCAAGGAATGTGCGGTACATTGGTAGAAGCACTTGCTTCACAATGTGTTTCTGTGCCTTAAGTTCAGTAGTATGTGTGTGTGGTTCGCTGCGCATGCACACACTGCCCCCAGCCGTTTGAGAGTTGAAGGGCAACCGGCCAATTGCCTCTTTTTCTTCTTCACCTTCCCAGCTTGTTTTATTTACCAGTCTTAAGCCGGAACTATCACTAGCATACGATGTATCGTACCACACGCGTTGCACTCATCACGCCGCTAGCGATGGCCCGCTGAGCGCTGTCGAGCCCGCTAAGTCAATGGTTTGGGTGTGATTCTTTCGTGTCTTTCTTCCAAGCAATACCAGCAGCACCTTTTGCCGCGTCAAGAGAAACATTGAAATATGAAGCATCATGGTCGCAGCGTCCACAGCAATGGATGCTGGAGCCGCAGCAGTAGCTGCAGCAGCGGTGCTGACAAGTGTGCGAGGTCTGCTGATCTGAGTAGGAGCAGCACCGCCAGCACGACCACCGGCTCCACAACTCCCGGCAGAGGTACCAGCCCATACTGGAGTAAGTCCAACAACACGAGTGACGTACAGTGTGAAGAACTGATAAGCGCGCGACGCTACGCCAAGTGTACGCACAGTAGCCATTGCTGTTGCAGTATTGACAGCAGCAAAAGTGGCAGCAGCAGCAGCGGCAAAAGTATTTTGTTCAATGCTCTGCGTCACTACTGGGAAGTGGGCACTTCCTTCCGATGGGGCTGCCGTCGGTCTTTGACTATAGGCATCTCCTGCCTCTTCTACCTGCTTCCGTGTGTTCTACTGCCATACACTGGCGGCTACGGCGGCAGTAGTTTCAGAGACAGCGCCAAAAGCAGCAGCAGCATCAGCGCTAGGAGAGAGGCGGAGTCATATCTTTGGGGTTTGGTTGCGGTGGCCTCCTTTTTGTCGGACTACGTATTTTCAGGTCAGCGGCATCACTGGTCTGTGCGTGCAGTGCACATGACGGACCGGTGGGTCGCCTCAGTTGCTCTCATGATGCAATGTTTTTACAATGTCCCATTCTGGTTTTCTGTTTCTCCGTCCACAGGGAGCTTGGGATTGCTCCTGGTGGTATGCTGCTGCGCTCTCAAATCTCGCAGCACTTTAGCCACTTCGTATGCGGAATATGTCTGGTCACATACCGCCTGGCATGTTGCAGGCGCATCGGCAAGGTGCATTATGGCTTGCTTAGAGCCAGAGTGAAGTTTTAATTCAGCTGCTACTGTAGCCCACGTGATTCTCGCGGCCTCATTTCGGGTTGTCAGGCGCTCCTGCTCCGGCTGAAAGGGTCGTCAAATAACTGTTGCTCCGACTACCATCACAGTTCGTCTTGAGGTGCACGCAGACACTACCTTCGGCGGCGCAGCAGCACTGCTGCGTGCTCCACCACTAGCAGGTAATCCTTTGCGAGGGAAGACCGTGCTGCGAAAGCAGTCTTTTACGCCGTATATTCCCCGTTTGTTTTTGCAGCAACTGCAGGAGCAGCAAGCTGCACATAAAGGCAGCATACGTAGTAGAAGCTCCATCTCATGCTGTTGGAGCTGCAGCTGACAGCGTCGAGAGATGCATAAGCTGCGATATAATGTACTTTTGAGACACAGTTCCTTTTGCTTGTTTCAAAATTTAGCTCGGGCGCATATGCGCCATAGTGACGATATTGCTCCATACGTGGGTTGCTGCCGCTTTTACGATCAGAGGACGGCATTTCCGTGCAGGTGAAATATATTGGTTTTACTGCAGCGCTTAGTATGAAGACTAGGATTGTTGTAGAGATCGGCTAGCAGCGTTCTGGGTCAATGGGCATCAGTGCTTGTACTGGGACTTGTCGGCTGAGCATTGACTGGCAGACATGCTGGCAAGCATAGGGACGAGCAAGCGGAAAGAGAGGGTCTTGACTACGCGTATAAGATACACTCAGGGGCGAACATGTTTTCCGCTGCATGCATTCGTGAAGCTCATTGGGAGTCCTTGAACCATCGGTTCATGTTCTCCTTTGGTTATTGGCTAGGCACCATCGATCTTCCTGCGATCGTTATTGTGAATCGCGTCTTCAAGATGCAATTTTCGCGTTGTAGTTTTCTCATGTAATGCATTTGCAGTGATTGGGTATCCCTTGAACGGTGAAGAATGTTACGCAGGAATTAAGGCTTCAAGCTTGGAGGCGAAACAGACTCTATTAGCTTGCGCCAGTACACAACATGGGAGTTTTGCTGCGTCATGGGTATTTCCTCCGCATATTTAACCACATCGTAGGAATACCAACTAAGCGCGAAATAGAAACCGCGTACCGTAGTAAGAAACCTTATAGAAGCCAAATTTGTTAGCTCATGTAGACTTTGGAGAGCCTAAGCATTTCAACAGCATCTAGCCCTTGATTTGCCGTTGGTGCAGCAAACAGGAGAAACGCAGCCGCCGCCGTCTCTGATATGCGTCCCTACGCTATTTTACGAGGCCTGCTGCACCTGCTGCCCCTCCATCATAAGGGTGCCATCCCCATTATCGTGGGTAGCTAGCACGCGCTTTGGTAGCCGTAATGCACGAGCTAGTCTGCAACTCATTGGACAACAGCAAGCTGAGCTCGAAGGTGCTGCTTGTAGGGCTATGCTTTCGCCGCAATGCAGAGTTAAGGGCAGCTTCGACATCACATTACCTGCGATCACGCTTTTTCTCCTTTCAAAGAGGCGCACTGTCGCCCATGTCTCCTGGAGAGGGCCTGAGCGTAAGTGCCTCCAGACTCCTCTACCGCAGTTTTGTGAGGCCAATAGCCTCTCCGCAGGCTGCAGGAGCAGCCTGCGAGTCACGTCTTTTGCCGTTGTCATTGCCGCCTCTGAATATTGCTCTAAGCTACCCTATGGCTTCCATCTAAGCGCAAACACTCACACTATCGCCAGAGATCTCCCGGCCTGCTGCTGAGGCAGCTGTTGGGCTGTTGCTTCATGTTTGTGCTGCTGTTTCGTCTTCTGCCATTTGTCTGAGCAATAAGTCTATAAGATGTATCTCCATCTTCGCTGAAACGCTGGTGGTGGGGCTCTGCACTGCAGGCTGCTGGAGGGTGTCTGGCTTCTCTGACCGCACCAGTAAAAGTCAGCTGTTCCGCTTCAGCCGATCAGCACTATGGGGGAGGCGAGCCACTCCGTCATGCCTAGGACAACGACTGGATGCTGCTGCCCATAGATGAGGGGCAGTATCAAAACTTCGACAGCGTCTATTTCTACGCTTTAGAGCAGCTCAGCGAATGCGCGCGAATAGGGACCAGACCGCTGGTCTCCTAATACGAAGTCCCGCACCTTGCAAGCAAATACTTGAGACCACCTCCAAACTAACGCATATCCAGCGAGTCTCTAGTCATTGCGGCGTTGCTCCACGAATATTAGCACAAAGCTACGGCCATGAGACAGCTTGAAGGAACTGCAAGGTCTGCTGCCATTGCGACCCTTATTAGCCTTTTAGACAAACCAGCGAAAGCTGGCAATGCCAGCAAAAAATAACATCAGAGCAGCAGACACGGATCTGTAGCTCCTGAAACTGATCGTCCATCAGCAGCAGATTTGTACTTCGGTCATGAACCCATGCAGTCTGCGTAATGTGTCATATTCTGACCCTTGCAATGAGTGGTTCTTCAAAGTCACCAGGTGCACCGTCATTCGGGGCCCCTGGATGTCGATTCACTCCTTTATTGGAATTTCTGCCACGGAGGCCTCCACCTCTGCTCTTCTCAGCAGGGGTGAATTTGCCACTAGTTATTCCAGACTCCTTGGGGCCATTCAGCTCAATCTCTGGCACACGCGGCCCGGATCTGTTCTGTTGTCCCCTTCCATTTGACAGCCCATCGGTGGATGTTTCCGTTGAATTCAGAGACCCACTGTTCCTACGCGAGCTGAGGCTGCCCTTTTTGTTCCTATTTTTCTTGCTGTGGCTGGGGGTATCCCTGTCGCTGTCCTTTCCTTCGTCTACTGGTGGCTTCATCGTTGCATCTAGGGAATGGAAAGGCCCGTACACTTTTGCCTCTGCGATGCGGTGCTGCGTACGAAAAGGAATAGCCAAAGTGGCACAACGGCTCCACACTCTTCACAACCTCTCCAGGCTGTTGCTGCCCTATCCCCGTTGTCGTAAGCGTAGGACTGAGCGCTGCTATATATGTCGCATAACAAGGAGACAATTAGCTGTTCTACAAGGTGCCTTCTTCCGCTTTACTGAATTAAGAGTCAGTACACTATCCCGCAAATGTCCCAATAACGGTGCTGAAATGCTCCAAACCTTACCAGCGTAGCGGAGTTGCGCAGGAATCTCGAAGCCAAGTTGAGCAGCTGCCAAGAACCCAATGCTGCAATACACGCGGCTGCAGCTGCTGTGACCATGCTTGTAATCCCTCCATCAGCCAAGAGGCCAAGGTCCCGAAGGCAGCTGCTGGCCATACGATCACGTAGACTTGCTCTCGCAAAGAATGAAGCCTCAACGGGAGGGACCACCGCAGGAAACGCTTCACTAAAAAGAAACTTCTGCGAGAAAATCCTATCCCATAGTGGGAGACGATCGCTCAGGGTGCCATGGCCGCCACGCGAACTGTTGGCAAGTAATTTTGTGTTTAGACGTATTGCAGACTGTGGTGCTGCCAGCTCCAACGCGGAGCCTACGGAGGCATAAGAGTTGAAGGAACCATTAGAATTTTCCCCTCGATTCAGATGTCCACTCAGACACCTTCCTGAAGTTGGGAAATATCCAGCGATGCAGAGCGGCCCTTTTGCGAAGTGCCAGCTAGAGACCTGGAATGGCAAGCCAGAAATAGGCGCCAATGCGGCTATGACAGTCAACAAGCAAAGAGCTGGCCAACCCTCTGACCGCCTCATCAACGGCATTCTTTCATGTTTACGTCAGGGCTGGGACAGGGATCCGGGTGCGGAGTGAGCCCAGTGACGACTCCGATTGAAACTCAAGATATATATCCCACTGCAGACAACTGTGTGGATCCGAAACAAATTACGGAATGAGGAAAGGGAATTGTCCAGCATGAGTGGAGCTGCTCCTTAATATCAAGAGTCACGCCTCAGCATCTAGACAGCCTAATCCAGCCCCACGCCAGGGTATTTGTGTCTTGTCAGCAATCAGCACGGAGAAGCAGGATCGATGACGCCAAGTATGTTTTGATTTCCTGAATTATTGACGTATTTTGTAGTGTTACACACTGCAGGGGAAGTGTAAAACGAGACGCTAGCCACTGGGGACGTTATGGACTCCACCAAGAAGAAAGCTGACGCGGCAGGGGCAAGGGACGACTGTTTAAAGTGTACCAGTAAACACTGTGTGGCTGTTACTTTCTTGAGGTCTGGTAGGAAAAGCTGTATCAAGTGCTCTTTTTTGGGCAGCACACCGGGTCCACATCGCCGGAAGACCGCAAGAATAGCTAGTAAACAACTTCCAAGATCCGACGACGGCATCACCAGCCGGCATAATCCCTTCTGCGCCGTTTCACTGAGAGGAAAAACAGCTGTTTACGCCTAGACGGAGCGGATAATAATATACTGGTCCTGTTATATAAGATATATTTGATGTTTCCGAGGCGTGGGCTTGTCGAGGGTCTCTGCCGCCCTAAAATTCAGTGCTTGCTTCAGCGCTATCCAGACGCCAGCGACATCAACAAGATATTATTTTCCTTTGAGAGGAGGAATACCAACCTGAACTGAAGCAAACATGCGCATCGGTTTCCTTAGTAATATTAACTGACGAAGGGAAAGTAACTAGATAGGAATTGTAGCTCCGCGGCTGAGGACTCTTATGCCTGGGACCGAACTTTTGCTCGTAATTCCTCTTTCAGAGCAAATCGGAAAATGTTGGCCGTTGATTGGACGCTTAAATCGTGCTGCTCACGTGGCCAGTGGATAACTTTGTCCGTGATAGCAAGCTGGACGCTTGTTGCTATTGTGCTGTGGCACTGCAAGGTTTGTGGCAAGCACATTTTGCTTCAGTTTAAACTGCTCACAACATTTCTTCACGAGTTCTCCCATGCATCTGCTACGTGGATTACTGGGGGAAAGGTTAGAGGAATCGGTGAGTAAGGGCAGCTCAAAACGTGGGGGCTTAACAATGCAATTACCACCTTGGGGACCTGAGTGAATCGATCAGCTCGAGCGAAACAGTTGTTTCTGCAGCTGGAACCCCGTTCCACAGACTTTGGGACCAGCTATATACGTAGATAATACGACGCCATCCGTGCCGCCTTCATGATAGCTGTGACGAGATAGCTATCACAGCAAGGTTCGCTGTTTCTGGTGGTGAAGTCGCCGTGTAGCTTTAGTTTTGCTTGTGTGCAGAGGTTTACACAAATGAGGGAGGTGTTACGCGCACAGTCGGAGGAATTCGGTGGATTATTTTACCTGCTGGATACATCGGGAGCTGCTTCTGGGGCTTTGTATTTACGCTTCTCGCAAGTATTAGCATTTGGACTCTCCGAGTAAGCGCTGGTCTGCTGTGCTTCATGCTGCTCCTCGTCCTGTTGTTTTTTGCGAGAAACTGGACAATTGCTATAGTAAGCGTTGTTTTCCTTATTGAAATAGTCATTGTGTGGGTCTTCACGGAAATTTACCACAATGTTTGGCCATTACGGGTTGCCATGCTGGCGATTGGAGCTATGAACAATGTGTACAGTCTTCTTGATATTCTGGATGATACAGTGCGCAGGAAGGAGCCTGATAGTGACGCATACAAATGTGCATCGCTGACACACTGCAGTAGCCGACTCTGCGGCTCGCTTTGGGGTATTCTGGCATTGGGAATCGTCATTGCGGAAGTTTATTTGCTGCTGGCTATTAAGGACGTTGGGGACGAAACTTTTTAGAGGCTTCTTGTTGTGCTTCTTGCTGTGCGTCTAGATAGTGTAGTACGATATTTCTCGGAAGCAGTACCTATCCCCAGCGTCGCGGCTGAGTCTGTCGAAAAGATATACTTAACGCTCCAATCATCGTTCAGTTCTAGCAAGCTACTCTTATTTTATGACTTTACGATGAAGCTACTTTTAGGAATTGGGCGCTCTGCGCTACGTCAAATGCTCGCTTGAGTGTAGCGCTCTCTTGCTGTTAGACGGCAATAAAAATTGAGCACCAAAAGATGCTCCGAGTCAAATGCTTTGACGCAGTGTTGCCACTATGCATCAACTTTACGAGAGAATTAGGGGAAATTAAGCGGCCCAAACGTACTTGCAGCGTAACTTGCGGACCGGCTGCTACGGATTTTATGAGACAGTCTCATGTCCGGAATTCTGAAAAGAGCCATTTTAGAGGCTTTGTCCGGCGAGTTAGGTCACCATGCAGCATTCCAGGCATCAACGCGGCAGATTCCCGCCATCAGTGCTGCTTTTACCTTGCCATTTCTCATAATTTCTGGCTTTCTTTTCTTGAGTCCAGTGCACTGACAAGGAAAACCGAAACTGCCTTAATGAGTAACTGCGAGAGGATCCCGAAGCAGGTTGGTTTAGCATGGTAGTGCCAAGCAGCGCCTCTCGGGGACTTTTGGAGACCTACTGCACGAAGCGCCCAAATTAGCAGCAGGCCAGGATATATAGAGGCTTTCACTGTTGACAAGGATGTTAACTGAAGCTGTGATCAACCTGCACTTCGACATTAGGATGGCGTGCACTCAGTATCTGCGCAAAAAGGTGACTCAAGCGCTCGCGAGGTTTGGTAGCCAGAACTCGATATCACTGCTCAAAAGCGCAGCCGAGCTCTCGAGCCCGCTTCTGGTACCGCCCCACTGAAGCCATGACCCTTTCCCATACCAATTTTTTTCGTGGCACTGCATGTAGTGGGCCGTAGCGGTCTAGTGCTTCTGCCGCTTCCTAAGTACTACCCGTGTTGAATATTGTGGTGCCTAGGGCCTCCACGGGCCACTTACCAAAGTCGCAGCACTACAGAGGGGTCATTTTGTTCTACTTATTAAGATACCTACGACTCGATAGCTTCGAGTCTAATCGCTACTATCTGGTGGTTAACTTCGGCGAGAAGACGTAGAAGTCCCAAACCAGTCGTCAGGACACAGCACGAACTAAGCCTACAAATGCAATGTACACAAATTTACACTGGGCATACGCGCGTAGAAATTCAACATCACACTGTGGTTACCCTCTTAAAGGGGTAATGTGGGGGTAGCAGTTAGTTTCTTTGACCCCCTTTACGGTGTTACTGATTTGTTGCTGCTCGCAGGGCAAGTCCTGAATATGATTGCGTCAATTGGCATTTATGTTTTTAAGTGAGTGTAAGCCGGCAAAGCCAACAACGAGACATGCAGCAGCAACCACAGTAGCAGCAGACCGCAGTGGTGGTGGTTGTGAAAAACTTATGGGGAGATGCAACATGCAACGGTTCCCCAACCTGTTTGTTGTTAGTGGACGAAATTGAAGCTGCGCAAAAAGCTTTTAAATTAAATGGTCCGATAAATATACCGTTTTTGCTCCCACGCAACTGGGGAAACGGCTTCACCGACAGTACGAGCAGCGCGCTCCAACCGCCCACCAGCGCAAGCCTGGCCCCCTCAGTTTCACTCCCACGGACCCTGTTCAGTTCCATTTATATTAAACTGGGTTCGGCTTTGTCCGATAGGCACAGCGGTATTCTACAGTATTAGCAGACACACGCCATTACCGCTCGACGTACACCAGGACTCCACCGACCCTAGCAACTGCAGCAACGACGGCAACAGCAGCAGCAGATACCGAGTTAGTAGCACCTGTCCAACCAGATGCAGCCGCGGCGACTTTGGGAGACGCGGGATCACCGGTAGCACGGACAGAAATAGCGGCAGAAACAGCAGAAACTTGGAAAATGGCCGACCCGGATGTCGCCGTAGCGGCCGATTCCCTTTGGAATTTATCCTCTTCTTCGAATCCTAATGTAACCTCTTCTGCTTCAGCAGCCCCACACACATCAGCAGCCTCTTCATCAGCTTCATCACTTTCTGGAGCGGGAGCTGTAGGGGAAGTAGGAGAGACTGCAATCCCATCAAGTTTCCTCGGCACTTTGGTGCCGGTTCGTCGCACATTCATAGAGGAAGTCCCCGAAGATCTGCGATGCCCCATATGCTACGATGGGGCCGCCAACTGCAGCACTCGTTGCGGCCATTCTTTTTGTCTGCACTGTCTTTACAGCCACATAACTACACGCATCATTCACCAACAGTCTACCGCCTGTCCGCTGTGCCGGTCGGCAAATGCAGGCCTAGGAGTCAGCACCATTTCCGGGGAAAAGTCAGCCAGAGTAAGGCAGACGGTCACAAGAAGGCCCTAGACTTTGTTTAGTGTCCCGTGACTTAATCACGTGCGGAGCTTCATTGTCGTTTCCTGCTCAATCTAGGTTTCCGCGCACATTCCATTGTTGCTCCTCAACCGTCGTCCATAGTCTCAGTTTCCCTTCGCCAGTCTCTGGCTTCAGCTGCGCCGCTTTCTCATGAAATATGCATATGTTTTCATTGCTGTGTGCAGACACGTGCCTTGCGCGTTCGTTGTTTGGGCTATGAAGGAGGCTGCCAAGTAGAGGGGCCTCTCTCAGAGGTAGAGAAGCACGAGACCATTTGCCCGACTGTGCTAATTTTCTGCAGATTCAGAGACGCAGGCTGCAGCACTCCTGTGCTTCGAAAGGAAGTATGCTTTGTTTCCGCTGCTGCCGTTGCCGTATTTGATGCTGCTGCTTAGGGCGGTGCTGTTGCCACAGCTGCGGTGGAGGTGTTGCAGTTACTGCTACCAGTGTTGCAGAAGTCACGTATGGTGCTGATTCTTCGTCACAGCTACCGGGTGCAGTTACCCAGGATAGGTGTCCTGCTGTGGGCTGGTGCTTTCGCGGCAGGCGTCTCTTCATGAAAACCGTTGTCGGTTCAACCCGGCCGTGCGTTGCTGCCGGCACTATCTCTCTGGCTGCAAAGTCCGCGGTATAGAGGAGTTGCTGCAGACGCACGAGCCCCGCTGCAGGTACTTCTAGTCATTTCTCCCTCATTGCAAGCCCGCAGACTGAAGTGACATAAGTAAACTTGCTCGCTGCTTCCCCATCCCTTTTCGTCTTCTTTCCAGCATTTGCCCTCATATGTTGAGGGATAGAAGCTAACGTGGCCTGTTTTTGGATTACTGATCGGGTTCGAGTAATTATCGGGAGCTGACTTGCCTGTGACTTGCTGTCAGGTACCGCAACATGCAGAAGTTCGTCAATTGCCGCCATATAGCCCTTGGATGCGGCCTCCGCATTCGAAAACAGTACAGAGAGAGGCATTCTGACTGCTGCGCCTTTAAAATACTACATGAATTCAAGCTCAGAAGGAACCAGCAGCAACAGCAGCGGCAGCAGCAAGAGGACGACCAACAGAGCGAAACAGCTGAGTACAGTGGCAATTTCGCAAGTGATGGGAATGTCATTCAGACAACAGCAACAACTGTGGAACGTGCAGATGATACGACGGCATCCAGGGCAGCACCAGCAGTTGGCGAATGTGCCGATCTGTGCCTTGCACTCCAGTGGGCCTCCCCTCGAGCCCTATCGGAAGATATTCTGCTGGGATGTTTAAGCAACTTTCTGCCCAATGTTTCGAGTATTAGCGAGGGACGCTTTCCAGGGGAGTTCCACGTCGTACTTAAAGAGTAGGTCAACACAAATCATACTGTTTTGCCATTATGCAGCTAATCTGGATGCTGCGCTGTTGCGCTGCTGGTACTGCTGCAATCTCTCCAACAAAACGTCTACTGTCGCTCAGACCATTACCCGTGGTGTCGTTTTCGCTGACGTGGCGTTTCCCCCTAAATGGATCCTTCATTTTCTAATTTCTGCCCACTTGAGGCGCAGCGCTGCAGCATTGACATCTGAGCGCGTACGATTGCATGCTTGTTTTGCTCTTCAGGGTGCCGCTGCTTGCTGTTCGCTCCATAGGGATGGTGGGTGACCCCAACATGAGCTCTAATCTATCTACACTGGGGCTTCTTTTCAAGGGGCTCACCACTGTCCAGTCTGTGCAGCTGTAGCCAGCTAGCTACACAGCAAGCTCTGTGTAAAATCAAGGCAACGGGCATCCGTTTGCCGAGGACACAAATTACAGGCAGTGTTCCCACACATATTCCAACCCTCGAGCACATGAATACTCATGTGAGAGCAGCATGGCACCAGCTGCAACAGTTGCAAGCGTTGCAACAGCTGGTACAGGCGCGAAAAAAAACTTTGCTCCGAGGGCACCGGTGGCGTTTCCGTGTACTTGCCCTAGTGCTGCCTTGCACCACTTTTCTAGAGGCAGCAGCACGCTGTCACCGCCGCTTCGTAAAGTTTTGCCACCGTAGTAAATTTTTTCAGGTGAATTCATATACCTTTCGTAGCAGGAGTATCAGCCTTCCTCGGCGCTTGGGAGTTTCGCTGTATTGCCCTTCAGGGTTCTGTATAACTGCTGTGCTGTCGTCTGGCTGTTTGATAGCGCTCAGCTGTAATAAGCAGCAACAGGTACAGCAGCAACTACCGCAGCACTAATGGCACCCCTCGGATGGCCTCGCTAATGCCTGTAAAGTATCGTTTGGCACGGAGCGACTACAGACCAATAGGCATTCAGGAGCTCAGAAAAAAACACTGGAGTCGTGTTCACCCCACAACCGCGCTGCAACTGCTATTCGCTGTCTCAGATGCGGTTGAGCCCCGCGTGCCAGCAGAATCATGAAACAATATGTGCTAGCACCTAGCACCTTCAAGCGCATGCTTGTTCTATCCGGGCATATTTGGCGTGCCTGCGCTTTCCTTCAGGTAGAAGGCATTGTAGTGTATGGGCGAAATATATGTGAGGAAAATGTGTCTTTGTGGGCTGACCTTCGCTCCGTCTCGCTCAGGGTCGTAGCGGAGGTACCAGCTCGTTGGGGTCGATGTTATCAGGTGTATGGTGCAGCAAAAAGCATCGGCCACTGCACGAAGAGACAGTTCGTCTCCCCATGTGCCGCTTCGCTCCATATCTCTCAAATACCTATCAAACAATGGGGCGCCATCAAAAAAGACCTCATAATCTTTGCGGCATTTGCGCATTTGTGCGACAGCCATACGCCTCACGTGCCGATGTTCGTTCTCGTTCCCAAACAGAGAGAATGAACACGAACGGAACTGGCAGTTGCCGTCCCCTACCGATGTTACTGTGCGGCATCCTAAAAACGACAAACGCTGCTCAAGCAGACTCGACTCCGTCTCCCACGCCGTTACGTTCTTCGGATAGCTAACATGGGCTCGCGCAGCTGCTCTGGGTGATGTACTGCTGCTGTTTGACATGGTCGTCAGGACAGTGGTTGGCCTCGCCTCTTCTTCTTTGTCGCTCTTCTTGAAAGACCACAGGCGACGAAAGAAACTGGCACCTCTCGTGAGCTGTTTTTCATCTTCTTGCCTGTGCTCTTCTGCGTCATTGGCGAAGGCATCTGGCTTATAACTGCTAAGAAGAGCCACTCTGCTGCTCACCTTCTTGGGGGGCATTAAAGGGTCCTTCATGGTGGAGCCTTCGGCCCCTGCGGACGCATTCCTACCCTTCGTCCTGCGTCTCTTAAACTCCCTGTCTGCCCTCTTCGCAGCCAAGCGAGTCCGCACAATCAAATACGCCTTCAAGACAGTCGCAAAGCTTTGCACGTCAACTCGCCTTTCCAAACGATCCAGTAGGACGAAATCATCTGTAGTCATTGGCCGAATTTTCGGGACATCACGTTGCTCCTGGTGGCCGTCAAGAGAGGGGCCCCCGACTATGGAATAACCCTTTTTAGAGGGAGAAGCCGATTCGTCTGAGCTGGATGCGGAGGACGAAGGAGAGGAGCTCAGCACCTTCGAGTCAAAACATGTGCGCACCATAATTCTGGTAGTGATGGATGGGGAGGCGGAGATACCGATAACACTGCTGCTGCTAATGCTGCTGCTGTTAGCGCTGTTACTACTTGCTGCACCCCTTCCTGCTGGTCTTGGAAACAACACCCTTGACCGTCGCTCCGCGAGCTGCAGCTGAATATGATTCTACTGGCCCGCTTCCTGGGTCAGTAGGTCTACAGTAGCTAGGGAGACTCTTGCTGCTTAGGCAGTTGATGAATATTGCAAAGTTTCGCTAGCCTTGTTGGGGCCGCCCCGGTCGAAACATAGAGTGTCTGAGCTGTCATCAGAACAGTCGCTATTGGTGATAAGTATTCTGCTGCCGTCGTTACTGCTGATGTCAGAGGGAAGTAAAGGGCCTACGAGCCGTACTGGTCGGTTTTCCCTCTATAAGGACCCAGGGTGATGAGCCGTTGCGGCAGCGTCCGTCGAGCTGAGAGTTGTCTAGACACGAGTTTTCGTGTCAGTTTAACCTTCGAAGCACAAATAAAAAAAGAATCCGGGAAGACTGAAAAACTGTTGACGTGTTTAGCGACTCAAGCAGATCCGCTTAGTGGATGGATCGACGCAATGAGACAAGAGCCGTAACTCTTGCTGTTACTGGTTCAGCTATTGCTGATACTGCCAAATATGCTTATACATCTTTGAAAAAACTACTACAGCAACTGTAGATTGAGGAACCGCTGCAACTGCAGCCGAACAAAGCGGAAGAGCGTAGAGGTGCTGTGCTCTACTGAGTCCACAGGATTCGAGCAAAAGATGCCGGGCTGCGGGATAATATGACTAGTTGAACCATTTTCTAATTGAAACGTTGGCCTACCTCCAGTATTGCTGAAGCCTAATGCTAAAAATCATGAGCGTCAGGTTTGGGGCTGGTTGAGACTTCACTGGAAGCAACGCAGCGCATTTGACCAGAGCGGACCAGTTTTGCCTTCTTTCTCTGCTATTGATTCCGGCAACTAGTGCATTTCTTCTCTGTGCTTGCGTTTACAATGAGGTAAAATGTCTCCTCAGATTCAACCGAGATCGGTGTTTCCGGTAGCGTGTTGCAGTTACGATGGCTGTTTGGAAGTGCTTGACCACCTTGAAGTGCTAATCTGTACCGGTGCTGCCTTCCGGTGCTGTTTATTGCGACTTGTTCCAAATTAAACTCTGTAGAGTGCTTTAGACAGCGCCAGATACAGCGCGGGCCCACGGGGAAAAGAATTAAGGCGAGTTTGCTGGGCAGGTCGCGCTGGCCAGGGTAGCGTCGAAGGCTTCAAAGGAACAACAGCAGTGGCATGGGAGCCCGCCAAGACATCCTAGTGCCAGAAGTAGGCTCGGGAACTGTGCCACGCGCCCATAGCGTCGACACGGCAGGCAACTACTTCAAATATTGCTAGGTGCCCGCAATCACGCCGACACGGAAGTTCTTCGCAAACGCAGCCCCTACCCTTGAATACGGCGTCAGAGTTCTACAGCAGGTGCGTGTTGGGCATGGGGAGTACTTCATGAGTTGATCTCCGTAAATAACCGCCTGGCCAGCGCTGTTCCGCGGAGCGAATCTTCCTCGAAATCTCCGTTGGTGCATAGTCGTCTCCTCCGAGCTTTTCCCGCTCTTTTCGCGCTCTCTCGAATAGGCCTTAGCTCCACATGAACTTCTAAACCTATTCGTGGTTCTCCTTGTAGAGTGCGCCTCGAGTCACGTAGCACCAGCTAGCATCTAGGTACATTGGAAGACCACCGAGGCTTTTTGTCCTGCAGGCCATACTCGTTGCACTGTGTTGATCAGACCCTGATGTAGCTGGAATTAGCCCTAGAAATATTTGTATTGTTACTCAAGGCTGCGCATACTGCAGCGCATCTCTTGAAGACACGAAGTTGTAGAGGTAAAATGTGTAGCCTCCGTAGCTCAACATCTTCATGAACCTCCGAAGAGACCGTCCAATGCTTTGTTGCACAGGCAACCACAACGGCAGACACTCATGCTCTCAGTCGTTCATTAATCCTGAGAACTCCCGCCAGCATGCAACACTTCGTAAGGGCACCTTGAACGCAGGCTTCAAAATTGTCCGCAATATCACGAATCGTTCCCTTGTCGCGCCGACGTTAACAAGTGTACAGCCCGTTAAATGTAGACTCGTCCACAGTGGTGGATTGCCCAGAATACTGTAAACGGGTGTTGCAGGCTACGACCACTTTCATCGTGCACGACCACTTTCATCGTGCAGTCACCCGCAGAGGTACACTAGCCTTCTCTAGGATCATGGCGTGAAAGCTAAGCAACACAGTGAGTTCATGAATGTCGGGTGATCGGTGATGAGCAATGCCGATTAAACACAACCTTGCGGATGACTCCCTTTACATTCGGTTAGTACCCCGCATGGAGCAGTCTTGCTTTCAGTCCCAGATGGAGGGCTCATTCAGATTCAGTCTCCCTATTCGGGCAGGAGTACTGTCACAGCGCTCTAAGAGCGAATTTAATAAGCGCACAAGTGGTTCATAAGCGCACAAGTGGTCAAGACCTGGCCGGACGGGTGAAGTTAACGAGGTTGAGCTGTAGCAGGCCAATAATGACTCCGAAAAGTCCTGAGCACATGTGAATATACAAATCGCACAAAGACCGCTCGAAATTGTAGCCGTAAAGCGACTGAAGGTATTTTGGCGCCAATAGCCAACGAGACTTAGTGCTCTTTGGCGTACTACAAGGAAAACCCGACTGCTGCCAAATCATTTCGTAATCAGAAGGAGGCGCCAATAAGTGCACGAAAATAATGCACAGCATATTTTGATAACCCGCAGTTACTACTGTAAGGAACCGCCACTGACGAACTGGTATCCATGCAGCCTTTCTTACCAAGAGCTGACGCGAAAATCTCCACAATAAGCATTTTGACGAATATTTCTGGCCTCTGCGCGTCGCCGAGAGCGGCTCCGCTACCTGCTACGCCCACTGAGATCCTGTTAGGATCGGCACAGAAACACTGGCGCTTCTCATGGAACGATGGCATGAAGAGCCGTCGCTTCCAAGCGCGGCTCCATAGTTAAATTACTGTTTACTTTTACGCCCTGGTGTAAAACAAGCTTCAAGGGGGCTGCTAAATCATGAATTGCAGAAGGCATGAGATTTCTGTTTGACAACGAAGCGAAAGTTGCTCAAGCAATCTGCGGTATCCTCACCCCGAAAAAACATTAGAGAGGCCCACTGTAAGCCCTGTCGCCAAAAGTCCCCATCCAGCTGCAATGGCATCTGCTTGCCACTTCTGTCAGCAGAGACAATGAAAGTGAGCAAACTACGCACGAAACTGCATACCGCACGAAACACGTCAACCTCATCCAAGCTAAGCAGCCAGCTTGTTGCGCTATTCATCGTCCTTACTTCAATCTTGTTGGCATCCATCATGCTTTGGATGAAATCCGGAGGAACGCCGTCTAGCTTGCCTGAGTAAAAACGTAAACAGCTTCTGGCGTATATCGTACAGTTAGACTTGCAACGAGGCTACTACGTTAGGAAATCGCGCAGTAAACTGTTTCGAGCGAGTAAAAGAAGCTAGAAGAACGACCGGTCTTAAAGGACCTACTGGCAACCAAGATGGCAATAATAACGCCATATATTGCAGTTGCCTCGCAAAATATTACAGACACCAAATTCTTCGACCGAATCCTGGGGGACTTTACAGCTGCGCCAAGAAGGCTGCTTCCGGTTATGAATATTCCCCTGAAAAAAAAGGAATGCCACAGAAACCCCCCAGACAGTGCAACGACACTGTGAACGGCGTCCATGGCCCCACCTTTAAGTCGATGTCAGCTCAAGCGACAACTCATTACCAAAAGTTTAGGACACAGACTTGCCAGGCAGCACCAATCGCTGAAAGACCCAACGCCAGGGCAACACCAAGTGCTCCCCATGCGACTGGAGGAATGTCACGAATGATATCCCCCCATCCTGTGTACGGCAAAGCAACTCCCTGTTGTGCCATCCTCAAGCGAAAGCGCCCGTATGCCTGAGCAACTCCCTGGCAATCAGCCCGCGAAGAGGCCAGTGAGGCTACCAGATATGGTCGAGCAGGAAGGCTCTTGCCTAGACGAAAAGTTGCGCAAGAATTGAGTTAGCGTTGAGCCCGCCCTTCTGCATTCCTACTGTCCCAGACGACATGGAGGATTCAAAATATCCCCTGTTATGAATGTCCTAAGTTGTGGACACACAGGGGGCAAGGGTATCCAAGATGGCTGAAAAAGCTGAATCCACCTGATTTTAGCCATTAAGAAAACATCCTCACGTACTGTTTTGTTCTGGAAGTCTGCTGGCAGTATTAACCCACCAAGAAGCCAGCGCAACTTGCATGCGCGCTTCGTGGGTCTGAGACCGCGAAGGCTGCAACTGCAGCCTCACTCGTTGGAGCTTAATGAGAAAAAAGTGCCAAGCTTAAACTGGAAAATATTTTATAACGTGCAGTTGAGTAAGTACTGCTCGAGTATAGGAGGGAATTCAATTCTACAGCGGCGTCCAATAAGTCCCATATAGTCTAGGTGGTTAGGATACTCGGCTTTCACCCGAGCGACCCGGGTTCGAGTCCCGGTGTGGGAAGTTTGAAGCTGATTGTGCTTCTTTTGCAACATGATGCCCTCACATCCTGAGAGGTCTTGAGCTCACTTGATTTTGTAGGTTGGCGCGCTGCTCGTTAGCAACAGGTACTGACACACATACGCTCTTTCAGCCAAGCGTCGTTTTATTGTCCCATTTTGGTGCCAAGAATTCTAGTATCTATTTCACGGAAGCTTCGCGGCATTCCCACGAATGCAACCGCCGCAGAAAATATATACAACGGAGTCTTCGAATGTTCAGAGGCAAATAAAGTGAACTATTCTGGTGACACCGTGCAATATTCGACCAAGGGGCAGAGCACCCAGGCTCTTGGTTGTGGCGTTAGTTGGGAAACGCTGAAGAAGGTAAGCTGTCGCCGTGTGATTCTTGCTAGTGGCTGTTTGGGACGTCACCATCTTACTTGGTTGGCTCGCGCAGTTGCCAGGCTTCTTCTCACAGTTTTATACCTGTGTATTGCAACTATATTTCGAAGCTTCAGATTAATCCTCTTAGAAAGGACTTTCCATCAGACAGCTAGCACTCAGTTATTTGTTACCACAATAGCACCATAGGCGCCGACAGTTTACATAAAGCGCAGTCAGGTGGTGCAACTAATTATAAAAACTACAAAGATACGTAAACTCGAGCTATTCAGTCCAAAGGTTAAGACTGATCGTCTTCGAAAGGATTTAAATAGCCAGCACTCAGGACTCACGACTATCCAAATTGTGCCGCCGGCGACGACTGTCTAAGTCAAGCAAAGTTCTGTGGTGCAGTTAATCATAAGAATTGCAAGGATAACCACGCACATGAAGCCCTTGAGACAGGGAGATCCCTGTCCCTCAGTGGACGCGGTTGTTCTGGTTGTAAAATAAAAAATGTGCTGTGCAGCATGAATTACCAGCTCTGAATCCATGTATATGCCGTTTCAGCATAGAGATCACATAGGACTCTTAAAGCAAATGCAACTTCACCATCTCATGCATAGGACCCCAATTTGGTGCCTTATGGTTACATCATCAGGATGTTAAGCTTAACTGGTAGCATCGGCGTCTTGAGAGAACGATATTATCGCCTCTCACTGCGCTTCTTCGCTCTCTCCGCTGCAGCTACGGCCTTCAGAGATATCGCTACGCTGCTGTCTCGTCAAAATTGCCCCCGTTTGACTACTTCTTGCAGATTCCCGTGATAGTTCCGGTTCTTGGTCTGCGCTGAGCTCATGTTCGTGCTGCCTTTGCATCCAACTGAGGTCACCTTGGGAAAATACCACTTCGTCTTCTCTATCAGCGCCACAGCATTCCATTGTTTGGCACAAAAGACCTGCATCTTGACCTTTGGTCTTTCTGTACTCGCGAATGTACTCTTCGGGAACCCGGACAGTTCCCTCTGGAGACACAACTTCAACTTCTGTCTCTTGAATCTCTGCTGGGTTCTTGCGCACCATAACTGCAGGCATTTCCGTAACCTTCTGGACGGGATATGGAACAATAAGAGGAGCAGGGCACTCAAGAGAGACGTCGAACTTTGGTACGAATCGCTCGACATGAACGATCTTTTCCACCGGTTTCCACACGTACTTCACTGTGTCTACATACTTCGGGACTTCGATAATCTTGGGTACCTTCTTTTCGATTGTATCTACCACTATTTCTTTCTCCACAATTCTGTCAACAAACTTCACCTGGGGGACTTCAACTTCGATTGTCTGTTGTTCCCCCACATACTTCACCACCGGGCGAGGCACTTCCCTTATTTCCCATTTGGGAACAAACTTGTGAGTGTACCCAGTGACGATCGGCACCAGAACTTCTCTTTCAACATACTTGTACTTTGGTATTTCAATGTTGACCGGCTGAGCGTCGATGCGCATTTTTGGGACTTCGTGTTCCACTCCCTGGTTGTACACCCGTGGCTTCACTGCATCCACAACGTCTACTTGAGGCACTTCAATAATCTTGTCGCGCCTGTGGATCTCCTGAATGACTGGAACAGGCACAATAGGCTGCTCGCAAGTCAATTTAAGGCGACCGTCCCTACTCCACGTCCATAAACCATGGTTTGCCTGGTGGGCCGGCGGGGGTTCCGCATAGCAGCATGGCCCGCAGCTTGGATTGGGTGTTGCTGTTCCATCACTTCCCTGGCCGCTTCCGAAAGCATAAGGGGCTCCAACCATAGACCCCTGACTCATGAAGTTGGGAAATCCGCTGCCGACTTGTGGCAGCGAGTGGATTGGCTGGTGGCTCGCGGTGCTGACGCCGACGCCTCGTGGCGTGGCGTCGCCACTTTGTATGTTAGACATTGCTTTTGAAAAATGTGCTTAAGTATTGAAGGATCAAATAAACCTCACAACTATGGCAAGATTATAGATCGGCGGGCTCTGTAACCCGCGTGAGGCTACGGCCGACGGCTCGCTGCCGGAGCCGCTGCCGCCAGTTCTGGGCAGCGAAAAATAGAACACAGCTGGAGGATTCCTCAAACAATAGTGGATAAAGTTGAGGCAAAGTTGAAGCAACAGGCTGAAAATCTCCTGAACTCCTGTAAAAAGAGATGGAAAATGTCAGCGTGGCGGAGCCATTGGGACCGGCTGTGGAGGTATGCAACCGCATCGACTTTGCGAGCGCAGGGCACCTGGTAAGCAGCGAAAGCCTGGCTTGCACCGCAGAAAGATTGGAAGTTTCACCCTTCAGTCAGTACTATTTACATGCATTTAAAGTATTTACGGGATATGAGTGTGAACTGTGGAGGCGATGCATCAATTTTCCAAGCTAGTTGCTTCTGGACGTTGATTTGTGTTATCTGGCACGGGATGCCTCGCTCTTGTCGGGAGATACTGTTCCAAAAGTAGCTAAAGTTACCCAAGTTCAGCCATTTTATCTTATTGTGTTGTACGAACTATTTGTTCTGAGAATATTTAGAACATTTTGGAGCCTGAACTCGACAGAGCTTGCTGCTGATGCCTCAACACAGCTAGTTAAAATCACTGCAGCGCGACACTCCGTGTACATTTTATTGCTCAATTATTGCTTGTATAACAGAGTGAAATCTTCCTACCTTTTGCGGAGTGTTATTGGTGTTGCGCAATGCTGGACAGAAGCAAGGATGTTAAAAAAACACAATGAACTTGAACACATGAACAGATAGTAGACCTACACGTGAGGGCAAAGGGCTGCAGTGGGAAGAAGGCAGCGGGTTGTGCATTCTATCTCCCCACCACCACATGAACGGCATAGGACAGCACCCTGCTGGAAGGGGCGTGGATAGACAATCTGGATAAGGTGTCTTGAGTTGCAAAAGTAGGCAGTGTCAATTGAGGAGTTTAGACGCAAAGCCATTCCGAAGCTGTAGGCGCAACGCTCAGCCTGAACAGTGAACCTTTTTACTGCTTAAACATCTCAAAATCAAAGCACCATCTCGACAGTGATGCGTCAAACTAAGAACACAACTGGCCTGCACTGATGAACGCTGCCGTAATGTAGGCAGTGGAGCGGCAGCGTAGTACACAACCCTCTTGCATTGATGGATCCCACTGGTCCCGGGAAAGAAACAGAGAGGGTTTCCTATCTTGATTCAGTTAAGTTGGCTGACAACAGAGAAAATGGAAATCAGTTCCCTGGAAGTGACTGGACTCCTGGGAACCAAAACGAAGGGGGTTCGATTCAATCATTCGTCACTGCAGTGTCGCCACTGCAGTGTTGTAGACTTTCTTCCCTGTAAAATTATGAGGCCTAGGCTCAACAAAAACAAGAAAAATCCTGGATAACACAACTTTGTAAATGAGCGTTCTACGCCTAGTCGGCCTTTTTTGCGTCCCGCTTGCGTTTCTCTTGAATGGTCACACCCCCACGGCAGCTGAAAGGGGATGCAAGCGAAAGGCAGCTCCTTCCTTTTTCTTCTGCACAGTTAGACTTTGACCGTTTTCCCCCACCGTCTATTAGGAGAACTTTAAGAGCCACCGAGGAAGCTCAAGTAATCAGAGAGCCGACTGATTAAGTAACTGTTCACTCCCAACACTCCTAACACCTTCGCAAGTGCGCAGTGCGAAAATCGTTATACATTGGAACCGCTTGTACAAAACACACGCAGCACCTGAGCAGCGCTCGAGTTGAGGTCCAACAGGGTGGGACCGCTTAGATGAAGCTCATGAGGCAGGTACACTGCGCTGGGCTAGATCTGCCAGCGGCAACTGATACTTCCCATGCCACATTGTCAATCCGGGAAGCAACAACGACAAAAATCATAGATGTCCTTCACACGGCCCTGAGCTACCTAATGCTTGCATACACTGCTGGACTTGAAACTGCCGCTGCTATAGGTTTACATGCTCCAACTGGCTCGACAATTCGGCGTCTCCCTAAAGGGGTATACTTGGCAAAACAAGGCATTTATGCCTTCCCTCGGAAACAAGCACGTGCATTTGTAACAAGTGACAAGGTTTTTCAGCTTGGCCAGCACTGCTTAAACTGAATAACACTGTTTGCGCCCGAAGGAATTCTTGACCTGCTTACAGCTGACCTTCGTGAGGCCATTCTAACCCAGATCTACAAGGCAATGCCCGGACATCACGCTGCAATGGAAAGAACGTCTTGAAAAACTATGTCCGTGCGCTTCGGAGGCGAACAGCTCACAGAATTCTGCCATCTGTACACAGCTGTCCACCACGCAACTTTGGGGAGGTTTGGACGACGGGATACAGACGCCCAGTCTAAGCTGCTGCAAGCGCGAATTCATGTCGATCGACAGCTACCGTTCCGTGAGCAACTACCACTCCAGTTCGGGAGCATGGCATTTAGAGCCTGTGTGCACAACACACAGGGAAAACCCTGAGCACCCAAGGGCGTCCCAAGCTCTTTATCTGAGCTTCTGAAGCTTTTGTCCATACAAAGCCGCTTTTTCTACAAGAAGAGGAAAGCAAGGGCCCCTACCTTCCTCGTCCGCAGTAGCCAGCCGAAGCTGTTTACGCAGATCCAGCAAATCGTTCAGAGCAAAGGCAGTCTCGTGCCCGTCTTTCCTGAAGACCCAGAGGGGAAAGTAAATAAACATAGTCCCATGTTTCTTACGGTGTGGTACAGAACGCGAGTATCATTCGCTGTGCAAGCGAAAAATACGAATTAAACTTCATCTGCATACGCTTGCACCGAAAATTCTAGAAGAGGCATCATTGTTCTCACCAGCTTATCAAAAGTGTACCGTTGTTGGTTTCTACTAGTTTGGCTACATGTACTTCGTCATCGGCACCACTGCAACATCAGCAATGCAAATGGAGAGGAACAGCAAATCAATTCAAGTGAGTAGACTAACAGGGAAAATGACAAGCAACCCGCGTTCAATTGGTACGCAGTCAAATCTGTATGCGCAATATTCGTCCACTTCTCGAAGTGTGGGAAGCCGCTTAAGGCAAAAGTGACGGGCGCACCCTCCGAATTCAGTGAACGGTTGTTATTGACAGGGTGTACATAGAGGCACCACGCAGGAGGAAAATCAAATTCAGAAAAACTATTGCACAAGTGTGAGCAAAATCCATGCTCTGCATCGCACGAGAAATTTTTGATTCCCAGTTCTACCTGGTTAGCTAAATCGTCGGCGGTTCGTGGCCCCACGCTACGCCATTGAGCATCACATAACTCGAACCACTGATAAAAACGACGAACAAATAAGCGAGGAGGAGTCACAATAGCTTTCAGAAAATCCTTTGAAACAGATGTAGAGAAACTGAGAGCGCTTTCCGTAAAAAAACGGTGTGCTGGCCCACCTTAGGGAATAGCCTTCGGACTGTCGTTTTCTGCACTCTGAGCAACTGCAGCGCGACCGCAAAATCTCCCCTGAAATTTCGAAGACTTCTTTCATCATGAGTGGTTCTCCTGCACTCAAAAGTTGTTGAACAGGCACTTGGCAGCTAAGATTGACTCGGGGAGCCATTCTGACAACCGAATATGTCAGTACGCAGCCATCAGCCCATGCATGCCCAGCATGGGTTCAGCTAGTGAAGGCGCCCACAGCCACAGGCCAACAAGTGCAGTAACCCAAGACTTGAGGGAGAGCGAATTCGATTTCTGCGTCTTCCACTGCACGCTGTGGTGGTGCGCCCTAAGCTGGTCTGCCTAGATGACCTCAAATGTGTATCCTGCTTTCCATATACACCTGCACGTTAGCTGATATTAAGGAAATCATGCTCTGACGACTCAAGCAACACTGCATAAACACCTTCAATTCCAGTGTGCTTTCCAAAACAACCCTCACCCTCTCCTAAAAGAGCTCCTTCTGGACGTAAGAGAGCGACCAGGACAGCAGACCCATCTTCAGCAAGGGAAGGCTCTGGCTTCAGGGAGCCATACCGAATAGTAGAGAGCTCGCAAGCCACCCTGTCTGCGAGGGTGCGAATAGCGTTCCACACCTGAAGCACCCGATGGGAAATTGAAGCAGCAAGAAAATGTGCTGCCGCCTGCAGGGGTGTGAGAGGGCTCTTGTGATGGCGGATGCCTCGCGCTATCTTTCAAATAGAAAGGCGTCTTATAGAAAGAGCGGCGACAAGAACTCCATCCACTGGGTGTCAAGGAATTGCAGTTCTGGAACACCGTAGTTGACGCACTGGATCTTCAGGGCCTAGCCTGTCAACAAATGAGTCCCTTGCATCGGGCACCGGAGACCCTGCAAAGTCCCTAGAGTTAAGTCTAGCGTCGAGCGGAAGCAAGACTAACTGACGAGCCGCGCTCAATTCCGCCAGTCTCTGCGTGGCTTCAGGTCGGCCGAATAGCTCATGTCGCTTATCACAGCTGTCACAAACGAAGTAGGCCATGTTGCAAACAACCGCCAGTGTTGGAATGCAGACACTTTTCAGCATGCGAATGCCTTTTTCTGCGTCGACCAAACTGCAACAAAAGACACCAATCATGATACTTTGATCCGCGCGAAATTCGCAGTTGCACAGGCTGAAAAGAGCGTTGAATCTCCAGTCCTCATCCTGCTTTCATATACCGGCTATGGAACATATCTTTCCCCGCTACGAAGTCGTGACCTTTGGCCCTAGCTCAACTTTAAGCTCCATCCTCTCAGCCCCTTACCTGAGAGCCTGCGGAGTAGTAACAACTACACACCCATCCAAGGGCGCCTGCTGCTGAGTGAGAGTAATGTGAATATCTCCGGTTCCAGGAGGAAGATCCACAACTAGATAATCTAGGATACCCCAGTGAGTGCCCGTTAGCATCTGCTGAACGACAGAGCTAACAAACGGACCGCGCAGTGCGGAGTGTCCCTGAAATAATAGGCAAAAGGCCGCTGTGATGTAACGAAATGAAATACATGCTTTCAGTTCATGAACTGCTGAAAGCAGTCAGAATGCCTAGCAAACAAGCGGGCACAACAAAATTCTAACAGACTATCTAATGAGCAGTAAACAGGCGGGCACAACAAATTTCCAACAGACTATCTAATGGATCACAACCAGTTCGTCATCCCAAAGTAAATAACTGTCCCCCAACACTCGCCTGGTAATTTTTTTTCGTAATGAAGCCATACGACATACACTTGATCCCCGAGACTACAAGAGGAACCATGAGCAAGTTCTCTTCGCGTGCAGCTTCAGCTGTTTGCGTCTCTCCAATGTTTGCTGCAGGCGGTTCGGGGTTCTGGATGGACCAATCCTCATATTCAATGCGCCTCCGTCGCACTGCTGAAGTTCCCTGCTTATTCTGTACCTGGAGGGGTGCCGTGGCACGTGATTTCACATTATCTTGTTCGTTCGAATCACACTCTTCCTTTTCAGCAAATCGCACACGGGCTTCCTCCTTGTTAAGCATGGTAGGAAGGCTTGGCCCATAAATGTCGGCGTCTAGTAATCCAACCTTCGCACCGCTCTTTCTCAGCATCAAGGCGAGAGATAGGGCAACAGTACTCTTACCAGAGCCTCCCTTACAGGAGGCAACGCCCAGTATATATTCCACTCGCCGTAGGTTTCGGGGACGACCAGGAGAATCGTCCCGGTTCGCGGTCATTGAATCCAAGGCCACGTCCACCTAATAATACGCAAATAAAGACACGCATGGGATTACCCCTCAACGATGGCTAACCAAAAATCGCTGTGCAGCGGCTCACAGCCAAGCACAGTGGGTAGAGAACGACACAAAAGAGGTACTCCCATAGATTAAGTGAAGCTAGGAGCAAACACTCTCACACCCAATTGCTCATTAGGCAACCACGTACCTTTCTGACCCATGGCAACTGCTTCACAACCGATTCTGCATCTTCTTGTATGCGACTCTTGAAGGGGCAAGCAGGCGTGGTGAGGCAAAGGCAAAATTTGACGTTTCTACCTCCATTTTCTTCTTTTTCTATCTGAAGGTCCTTAACGAACCCGAGGGAGACAATATCACGGCCTATATCCGGGTCTTTCACCTACAGCAGAGCGAGGTGTCCACAAGCAAACAAGCAACGGTCACACCGCCTCCCCCATGAACATCTTGAGCAGCCAGTTTCCCTTTCACCAGTTAGGCATAAGCGGGAAAAGATCGTAGTGCATGTACTGCCTTTTGATTAGGGCGGCACCTGGCGTAGCTGGCTCAAGACTTGTCCATGGAAGGCACGCAGAACCGTCTGGTGGGAGTCTTCGAACAATTCACGAGCTTCAAGCGCAAGATCCCTCGCTGCGTCTTGAGCTTGTGCTGAAACTTCCGCCTGATTGTGAGACAAAAGCTCGGCGTCTACAAGGTCAGGATCCATCGACCACGAATGTGCGGAATTGCCATCAACTCACGCAGAGGAATTGTGAAACTATCGGCGAATCGCACAACAAGCGACCTTGAAAACAGCAGGCAGTTGACTACCATGAGAACACCAGAAGGAAGCAACAGATCCTCATGCGTTCTTTCATTGCAGGCAGGCAGATCGGAGCCAAGAAGTACTGACTTTATCGCGACTGAGAGACGTAGGCTAGCAGCTGAAGCCACCAGTGGGTCTCCAAACGTCTGAAGCAATTCTGCCTATCTTTTTTCGAGCCAGTGTATTGTGTCACGAAACGTTAGAAGGCTGCCGCGTTTAGCGCGCTGCGGGGCCACGAAAACTCCTGGTGGGGAAAACCTGTACGCTAGAAAGGTATAACTGCTCCATTAGCCGTTCTGCAGAATGAACGATTCACTATTAGTATTTGAGTACGCAATATTACTCGCTTTTGCGAAGCCCTCTGAAATGACGCTTACTCAGCTGTAGTGATCGTGCATGCAAGCATCACGATACAGATTTCGGGTATGATCTCAGAAGGGAATATATCGAGCAAGAATAGAGCTAATATTAACAGTGCATTAATTTAAGCCTTTATCAAGTAGCATTAGTAAGACGGCATTATCTCGTTTCATCGCTGAGTTTCTTCTTCAGCAGCGGAGCGAAGAAGCGACGACCCTGAGCATACGCCTACTTCATTAACACTGTTGATCCTGAAGTACCCGCAGCTGTATGCGTCTACTACGTCAACTTTTCCAAGCACTATAATGCATATGTATATAATCTGAGCACGCTGAATATCAGGGTGAGCACTAGCATTTCTTGGAAAACTGGCGTGCTGCTGGCTGCATTGCACGGTTATTCACTACAAACGCAGCAACTGTTTCACAACGTGGAGTGCCGTCAGTTCGAGAGTCAAACTCCTAGAAACGCATTCGCGCTCATCTTGGAGGACTATAGAAAGTCGTGTGAAATACAAACAGGGCCAAAGGAGTTACATTTTATTCCTTCTAGCGGAAGAGTTACATTTTATTCCTTCTAGCGGAAGAAAGAGACAAAGGAGGTCTGTTAGGAGACAGCCAGATCGAAAAGATGGCGGCGGATGGAGCCACGAAGGAACCAGAATGTGAGGATATGATGTCCACAAGCGGAATTTCCAAGCGTCAGGGCTCCAAAGTTGTAGCGGAAAGAGTGAGGCACCGCATCCCAGAAAGCTTCAAAGCCAACAATACTGTCTTACACACTGCTACTCAGTGGTAGTAAAAAGCTTTCAATAGGCTGGATTCCCATGGTGAGCTGCAAAAGTACCGAAAATTAGTCAGCTCCTCCACTAGTGCTAACACTAAGCGAAAGAGACGGATTTCCACTTCGACCCAGGGAGACACTTCAGCGAGGACCAAGAACTGGCAGTCATCCGATGATCCAAAGAGCTTAGAGAGCCGTCTGGCGGCTATCAGGCAAACGCACAACGCTGTTCTTCAAGGCATTGAGATTGCACAAGATAACATGATCAAAATGATGCAAGGTGACACAAAGCTACCCGTTGGATGCTAGAGGAGAAAAAGCCACTCCTTAAACACAACAAGTAGTTCCGAAATTGCGTGGGCGGCTTGAGAGAAAGAGTTGTGCTGTCGAGTTTTGTCTGTTGGGTGCAGAACAGGAAAAGCAGTATTTAAGAACCTTCAAACTTAAGTACGAGAAAAATATTAAGGCTGCACACCAGTCATAGGTAACAACGTGCAAACTGCTTCAAATGCTCGAATGTTCTGATTGCTACTGCTGAGAAGGAGGGATGATATTCTTCTGAATTTTCTGGCGAACATTTAGGACCGAAGATATCTTGGAGCAAACGAAAAAGCTCCAGAAGGTCCGGCTTCAAGCCTTCGCTGCCAGTACTGCAGTTTGGAGGAAGTTGTTTTGTTTCTGACAGCACAAGTCCCGGTAGCATCTAAAGAAGCTATTGTTAACAAAGCCTTTTCTAAGTGCTAATCTAAACCAGGTCACTTAAGTGAGTGGGTCATCTTTGGGGTGCCTTGCCAACGAGTACACCCTGCTTTACACTTTCGTGCGTTTCACGGTTTTCTTGCAACAAGTACTGTTTTTGCTTTCTGGCAGAAGCAGAAGCCCCCGCTGCAACTAGAGACCTTGCATCGAATGCTGACAATCAACCTGAAGGCTGCAGAAGAAGAAGCAAAGCATTTCGCCGAATTGAATCAGTCGTTGGTCTGCCGAAACCTTTATTTGCAGCTGGAGACATCCTAATAGTACTTTGTGGGAGAGGCTTGCTCATTCTACGATAGGTGTACAAATTGCGGCTAGAGTGAAGATTTTACTGAGGCTGAAACACAGCAATCAATTGTTCTGTGATGGTTTAGATGGACAAAAATGCACAACTGGTTAAAGAAAATGCAATATTACGGGAACAAAACGATATCCTTGTTCGACGAATGGCCATTAAACGGCGGCAACAAGACAAGCGAGGCGGGCCAAGCTACATCGTTGCCAAAATTGCACTATCGGTCTTTATATGAAACGCAAGTAATGCCATGATGTTGAGTGAAACGGGGGAAACCTTTCCCCTGCTTCAGCTACAGTTTGAGTGCCTGTGTGAAGTAAGCACAGCATTGGAAATGGTGGTACGACGGCATGAAAGGATCGTACGTCTCTGTTGAACATCTGGTGCGCAATGATGTAGAGAAGGGCGAGCTTGCCATTCTACTCGAAAAGGGCCATATAGCCTGCGTGGAGCCTTCCCCAGATGTGTCCCCTAGTCCTCTTCGTCAGACTCTTACACCCACAACTCTCGCAAAAGCCAACGCCCGATGGCGCCAGAGTACGAAGAAGGAAAACTATGGTGAGGCATATTTGAAATGGGCCCTGAAGCGTTCACGTGAACAGTGTGGAAAGAGAGCAGCAAAATATCCCCATGAGCGGCATTTGAGCTGCACACAGAAAGAGAACTTGAGATGAGAGAGGAGCTATCTCGGCTACATGCTCTCTGCAACAAGCAGAAGAGCGAACTTACTCTTATGAAAGACACCGAATGTCGCCGAATGGAGCTGGAGCTACTTTTGAAGCAGTGGTCTGCTCTGCGGATTGCCGCTACTCGATAAGTTCAGTGTTTGCTGTAGAAGTAAAAGAGTCGCGTGCAGGAAAGACGTCCTGAAGCTGATTGTGCTTTGTAAAAAATCTTCCAGGCTGTTCTACTGCATACTCATAAAAGTCTGTACCTCAATTTTGTCGCCTTTTTGTACAGTCTAATGGATATGAAGAGTCGGCTTACTGATGCAAGAAATAACTCAGTGGTAAGTTTAAAGTGCACCAACAATTGGATACTATTGGTGTTGTATGCTTTTGACAAGTACCTACGGGCATCCTCTCGTAAACGTTTGTTCAGATACAAAGCAACGGTGCAAAAACCAGTAAAGAATGCACAAGAAGTGAAGTGAAGCTTTCCATGGGTGACAAGGACGAAATTTTAAAAGCGATTGTGAAGATGGAGCAGTGAGACAGCTAACATTCTTCATGTATAGCACAATTGTGTTCCCTTTTCAACGCTTTCCACCACATGAGGCTCAATTACCACAAATATATCCAGAGATTTGCCATAATACACGGGAAAGTCGTACACACAATCCACTCGGGAATTGCTATGTTAAGTTTTCTGGATCAGAGTTATCAAGCTGCTGCATCAAGACGGCAAGGCTTCGACCGAGGCAACGAAGATAAACGTTTCTTGGTTAGACAGTAAAGCCGACGAAATCAAACCAGAATACGGAGCCGTCCTCTATTCTGGAAGGAAAACAGTGCACGCCGAAAAGCATGAGCTTAACATGATGGCCAAACGTCCAGAAAGCAGACATCAAAAGGAAAAAAAACAACAGCGCAATATGTAGGAAATGTCTTTTTCATGTATTGCTGGTTGAAAAAAGACGTTCTGGCTGCCTTGAGACCTTGATAACGCTGCCGCCTTTCTTGGTTTCTTTCAGAGAGAGCTTTGCACAACCGCGTCTCTATTCGGTTTCAAAATTTGATTTGGAGCCTAGGCAGGAATACAGCACTTTTGAATAGGCTGGTCAGTAACACTTTGTTCTGTGGGGAATGGCCCGTGGTGGCTACGCAGAATGCGCTCCAGGAGCAATACACCTGCTGGCTGGATAAGAAGAGTCTGCCTCCAAAAAAGGCAAAAAAGGCGTAAAGATATAGTTATCCCTCATCACTTCTAATTCAAGAGTGCTCACTTTGTTGTTGTTAGAATGGGATAGCAATAGCTAGAATGTAGTAGCTGCAGTGAAGAATGGAATGCCAGAACTGCACCTAACGCGTGTGTCTACTAGAACAGCAGCTCAAACGGTAGTCCAAGTGTTATGCACAGCACCTACTGCTGCGACTACGCTGCTACCTGGCCCCTCGAGTAGGGGCCTATGATAACGGTCTACCTTCGGCGCATTTCCTTGAAACAGTAGTCCAAATGTCACGAAATACATTTATTCATAGTTTTTTCTAAATCCGCTTTCCTGAAAATCCTCCTCACTCGGGGTTCTTGCCTCCTAGGCCCTGTGGGAAGGAGGCCTGCACCTGTAGTGCACAGGCACTACAATGGGGCTTGCTAGTGACCTAGAGACGATAGCTAGCTAGCGACCTACAATGGGTCGCAACACTGGAGGAGGACAGGACCCTCCTACTAGGATAAACGTAAGGAAAATTGTCTAGGAGATAATATGCATACGTGAAATGTGTGGAAAATGTGTGGAGACTGGGGCTGGCAATAGCGCCGGCACCAGTGCATGCCTCCTCCCCATAGGGCCTAGGAGGCGAGCTCCCCGAGTGGGGCGAATCGAACAGTGCACAGCGCCTACTGCTGCGGCTACCTGTCCCTCGAGCAGGCCTACAAACTACACCTAGCGTCGGCCTATTTCCTGGAAACTGTAGCTTAATTTCATCGAAATACAATAATTCTTAAGTTTTTCAAAATCTGGTATTTGCGGGCTGTTCCGGGAATGAAATCTTTGTTCTTTCCGGAGTTGGGAGTAGAAATACTCCCATGTTTCAATGATGCTCACCTAGATATCTTCGCTCGGTAAGGGATGCATCTCCGCAACGGACGCGTTATCGGCCCCACACCGCAGGAGACTTCTACAATGTCAGTCAACAAAAAGCCGAGCGGGACGCCAGCCCATCATCGCCACGCGACTCTGAAGCCCACTGTGGCAGAGCGGCCGCATGGGCATTAGGAGGCGCCCCCACAGGCGATACCTATGACCAATGTTATTCCAGGGGACAGTCCCTTCGCCACGTGGGACCAATTCCAGTCCGCTATGAGTGTGATAAAAACTGTTATAGGGGGGACCGTGGAATCCGGGGCAACGATTCCCATGCTACCAGAAGACGGCAGCACTATGCAGGCCTTTCT